GTAGTTCTTATTGGCGACCACAAGCTGGTACGTCATCGGTCGAATGTTGAAAAGTGCAATCTGGGCGAAACCGTCCAATGTATAATCCTAAAGTGTCTCAACTTGCACATTATCTATCCGATATGTCTCATTTTCACGCCACTTGAGATGAAGCAAGTGCATTTGAGACGAAAATGATAATTATGTATTGCCACGTGCAGGGCTCGAGGCCAACGCGGAACGCGTGGGAACTCGGGGTTGTTCCTCCTGACTTCTACTCCACTTGGCGCTGTGCAGGTTGGTGCTTAATGCACATCGTGCCACGTGGCAGAGCGCACGAGGCGAAGCGGGCTGGCATGTCTGGAACGATTCCATCAACGCCGATTTCTGTCTTTGGGAATATTGCGTGGGACTGAGAAAGAACGCTGCAGTCGGCTCGAAGCATGCCAAGCTCAAGCACCATTACACCGCATGGGGTAAAGTCGATGGCAGCCAGAGGTTTCTGCGATTACAGTACCTGGTATTACATGGACGTGGCGTTGGCTACCGGGCTGCCTCCGTGCTGTACCGCAGAGTCTTCCGTCGCACAGCCTTCGTGCGTCGCGGGAGCTAGAAGTATCTTGGTGGTGATCACGTTCATCGCGCACGAAACGCGAAACACCTTGCGCGATTCCACTTAAGCACACGAATCGATTGGTCGGAAAACGCCAAAAATGGTTGTGATTATCACGTCATTTGCGGTTTGAAAAGGGTCGCCAACTCATTCTCATCAAAAATTATTGATTGGCAATTCGTATGGTCGCGCCACCTGGTGGCGGCATTACGCAACGCTGGTGCTTTTCTAAATCTGACTTGCGCGATGGCGCTGCCGCTGCCCGCCGACTACTTTGCGTGCCCGGCGCTGACGCCCAAGCAGCGCGATGCGATTGTCAACTTTGGCCACGCAGCGTGCAACGACACGGTGCAGAACGCGCTGCATTTGCAAAAGGCCCGCGTCGCGTCCGTCGTCAGCAACAAGAAGACCAATCGCATCGCGCGCGTACGTCGTCTCCACAACTACGGCTCCTCATGCAACCGTGACTAGATCCACAAGGGCCACGACGCCATCGACTATACCCTGCCCGCTGTCTGCGGACGCACCGTCATCCAGGCCACGCTGGCTGAGATCGCGCACTTCTTCTACCTCGACTCAAAGCTCAAGCTCGCGACGTACGCGCTCATTATGGGCCAAACGATCCTCGACCGCCACTGCCTCTACACGCTCAAGCAGCCGACGCCCGGACGCCCGGCGATGCACTACCTCGGCGTCGCGTGGATGGCCGTCGAGTGCCCCACCGGCATCCTCAACCGCGACTTTTGCGTCATCGAGGTTCGTATTTTCCACGCCATTTTTGCATCTCATGTGCGCGCATTTGTAGTCCCACGACACGATCGAGGTGCTGGACCCGACTACCAAGCGGCTCCGTCGCGGCTGGGTGCGTGCACTGCACTCGGTGGACCTGCCCGCCTGCCCGTCGCTGCGAGCGTCGCACGGGCTCGTCCGCGGTACCCTCCTCCGCGTACGACACCTCTAACTGTAGAGATTCAAAACGGTCTTGCATTAGTCGGGGCACGTCTTCCTCGAGACCAATACGCCGGGTGTTCTCGAGTACTGTCACGTCATGATTTCGCAAGGCCACGGCAAACTCCCTCGCAGCGTCGTCTCGACCATCTCGAAGAATCAAGTTGCCCGGGTATGCAGCGGTTCGCGACGTCGTCTGACTCTCTGTAGCTGCTCAATCTCGAGGAATTTCTCTCGTTGCAACGCTTCTCGGCACGCCTGGATGTGACAAACTTTCTGGACGTCCGGCATTTTCAAAACAAAGACACGGTCACAGCCTGTAGCATTTGCCGCCGCAAGTTTGGTTGGTTCGTCTCCAAGAAGCACTGCCGGCAGTGCGGCAAGGTCCTTCCTTCCACCGTCCGATGGGGTTCTCATTCTTTAGGGATAGATCATTTGCTCGACGTGTGGTCGCAACTGGAAGATGCCCATCAACGACAAGCCCGTCAAGCTGCGCATTTGCCAGGCGTGCTTTTGCCCTGATCGTACGATGACCTTGGCGCGTCGCGGAAGCTAACTGGTTTGTGTAGAGCCGCAAAAGACCCCCGACGACGAGTACGAGCCCAAACTCATTTTCACCGCCGAAGCCTTCGAGTCGCATCGGTCCTTGCACGATGCGATCATGGACTCGCTTCGGCGCTTTGACGAGTCGACGCTAGTGAGCCACGACGAGAGCTCCAACGGCGACGACAGCACGTACTGCGACGAGTCGCCGCGCGCCTTCCCGCGCATCTCGGCGCTCTCGGTGCTCGAGACCAACACGGCGATCCGCCCGTCCTCCTTTGGCTCGTACCTCTACACGGACACCAGCCTCGACGCCAAAATCGCGTGAGCTTAGTCGGTTCGAATTTCTATAAATAGCACTTTATCCGGCATCGTTCGAAAACCACATTCGTTCGATCTTGGAAAGGCAGCAGTGAGCACAGCACAAGTGACCATGGCCGTGACGCGCGTGGCGACAGCCGTCCTCTTTGCTCTCGCTGCTGCACAAAGCCAGTCGTACCTCTCAGTACTCCAACACCCGGAACTTGGGCTCATCGAGCTCGCGCCGGCGCAGCAACACACGCCGTTGGACGCCTCGTTGCAGCACCTGCGCCCGCCCCCGCCGTATGTGCCGCCATCGCCGCACCTCTTTGTGGGACTCTCGGTCTTTCGAGACGGTGATCGCTGTGGGTATACGATCTTTACGGGCTTTTTACGTGCGAGTTGCCCCGAGCTCCTCCGGTTTGGCGTGATCGATCAGGTCGCGACCGACGACGTCACGTGCATCGACGCTTATTGCAAGCTCGCAAGGGATCAGTGGCCAAGCCACGCGTGCATGTACAAGGACCACATCACGGTCGAGAGCCGACCGGCTGAGGCGTCTCGCGGTCCCACGTACGCGCGCCACTTGCAGCAGCAGCTCATCCACGACGACGACGACTTTTGCCTGCAGTTGGACGGCCACAGCGTCTTTACAAACGACTGGGACGCTGCGTTTCTGAGCGAGTGGGAACGTGCGGACAACGAAATGGCCGTTCTCACCACGTACCTCCACGACCTCCACAGCTACGTGGGGGGCGACGGGAAGAACTGGCCGCCGAGTCAGCTCCCGCATTTGTGCACGACGACGCGCGGTGGCAGCGGCTGCGTGCGCAACGTAGGCGCGAGCATGCTCCACCACCCGCAACGACCGCAGATGACGGCTCTCTTTGGCGCCGGCCTCTCGTTCAGCAAGTGCCATGCCGAGCGACGCGTGCTCGTGGACCCACACACGCCGTGGCTCTTTGACGGCGAAGAATTCCTCCGCGCGTCGCACCTCTGGACGCACGGCTACGACTTGTACTCGCCGAGCATCAGCGTCATCTACCACAACTACAGCAGCGTGCCCAACCGGTTCTTTGCGCTGCCCGTGGACGCCGCCCTCCGCGAGCGTGAGACGGCGATGGGGCGCAACCGGTACAATCTCGTTTTGGGTCTCCCCGTGGACGGCCCCGTGAGTGCGGCGGACCTCGACCGCTACGGGTTTGGCTCTGCGCGAACTCTGCAAGCGTACTTGGCGTTTGCAGGCATCAACCTAGAAACCAAAAACGATGTGCACTCGTGCAAGCAGCTGCACTGGCAGCCGTATACGGACGCGCGCGATGTCGAAGCCCTCGTCGGACGCGGCTGGACCTTGGCACCAGCGGCGAGTGTGCAAGCCATGCAAGACGACGTGGAACCGGTTCTAGTCCTCTCGGAGCTCAATGCCATTGAAGAACGAGCGTCCTTGGTGGCCGAACCAGGTACAGTAGCACTCGAGCCATCGCCACCGCCTGCTGCCGTGCAACGCGATCACGACGTCCGACCGCCCCATGCCTTGGCGTCGGCCAAGCAGCTGATCGTGCGCGTCCCGTACCAGCTCCACGTCATGATTGCAGTCGTCGCGATGCTCGGCGCCGTGATTGCGTTTGCAGCGCACGCCAACCGCAAGCACAAGCGTCGTCTTCGCAAGAACATGATGACCAAGTAATGCCATGTCCGTTTGCATTCTACCTCTTGATCGCTCGTTTGGTTGTGACGCAAGGCGCTTGCAGCACCGCATGGCTCCAGGGCTCTAGTGCTCTAGGGCGCGGCTACCTGCTGGCCAAGGCGCCACGTACCAAGGCTGCGCCCGTGTCTACAGCTGTCAGCAGCGCTACAGACTCGCATTGCCGGATCGAACGACTTCGATGGAAGATCCAGCGTCTGGCCTTTCACGGCAGCACGTGATTGGTGCAAATAATCCGGTTTCGACCAATGGCCTGTCAGCCCATTGCACTCGGCAGAGGGCAATATTCATTCCCACAACACACCCGAAAATGAAGTCGGTGTCGCTGCTGCTGCTCTCGGCGGCCGCGCTGGCGCTCGCCAAGCGCCCGCAGAGCATTGCCTTCTCGTGGCCAGAAGGCGACGACAAGAAGCACTACGACCCGGACATGGCGCCCGAGACGCAAAACATCCCGCTCGACTCGGCACACGCGGCGCTCCGCCCGCCGCCGCCGCGCGTGTCAGCGACGCCCGACATCTTTGTCGGGCTCTCGACGTTCCGCGACGGGCACCGGTGCGGCTACACACTCTTCACGGGCTATAAGCGCGCCGTGCACCCCGACCGCCTATACTTTGGCGTCGTGGATCAGGTCAACCCCGGCGATCTCCGCTGCTTGGACGAGTATTGCAAGATGGCCAACACCGAATGGCCTGAAGAAGAGTGCAAGTACAAGGCGCAGATCAAGATTGACGAGCGCCTCGCCGACGACTCGCGCGGCCCGACGTACGCGCGCCATCACCAGCAAAAGCTGATCGGCGACCAGGAGTTTTGCCTTCAGCTGGACGCGCACTCTGTCTTTACGAACGGGTGGGACCCGAGCCTCATCGACGAGTGGAAGTCGGTCGGGAACGAAATGGCGATCCTCTCGACGTACCTCCACCACGTGCACGACGGCTACGTGCTGTCCGATGGCACCAACAACCCGCCGGACCAGCTCCCGCACCTCTGCACGACCATGCGCGGCGGCAACGGCTGCGTTCGCAACGTCGGCGCGAGCATGATGCAGCGCCCCGAGATGCCGCAGATGCAGGCGCTCTGGGGCGCGGGCCTCTCGTTTGGCAAGTGCCACGCCGAGAAGCGCGTGCTCATCGACTCGCACACGCTGTGGATGTTTGACGGCGAAGAGTTCCTCCGCGCATCGCACCTCTGGACGTACGGCTACGACATGTACTCGCCCAGCACGGGCGGCACCGTCGTCTACCACAACTACACGAGCGTTCCTGCACGGTAGAGGTATCACGTCTGCTCGTTGTCTGATTCGATTGCAATAGGTTTGAGCACGTCCAAGTCGACCAAGCGCGCAAGGCCAAGGAAGAGAAGATGGGCGTCAACCGCTTCAAGCTCATGGTCGGGCAGCCGTTCAAGGGCCTCGTCGACACGGAGGAATGGGACAAGTATGCCTTTGGGACCGTGCGCCCGTTCAAGGCGTTTCTCAACTTTTCGGGCATTACGTTTGAAGAAGGCAAGAGCGACGAGCACTCGTGCAAGCAGCTCCACTGGGTGCCGTACGCCAACCCCGCTGAAATCGAAGCGCTTCTGCCCGGGTGGCACCTCCGCCCCAAGAAGACGCACGCGCCGACGACGACGACCGAGTCGCCGCCGGTCGAAGTCCTCTCGAACAACGAGGCGGGTGAGCGCTCGGTGACGGTAGCGCCGACACGCCGTGAAAAGGCGCCGGATCACGGAATCGAAGCCACGATCTCGCTCGACCACGTGCCGACAATGACGGGCCCCGTGCTCTTCATGCTCTTTGGCGTCGTGGTCTTTGGCGTCGTCATGTACTCGAACGACGGTCTTTGGCTGAGCACGAAGCGGTACTTTCGTCTGCAGCACAAGGCGCGCAACTAGCCTTCGATAATATACTCTTTTGTGTGTCGATATTGTTTTTCGAAATAGCCAAAAAGTATAGGCATTTTCGATGTTTAAGTAAAGCACGGGAACTTTCGCAAGTTGGCGATCCGGTTCATGCTCTCCATGCCCTGGAGGAAGCCAGTGTTGGGCGTGAGCCAATCGAGCGCCACGAGGCCTTCGTGGAACGTGCCGAGCGTGTTGCCAGGGTTGTACTGGTACGCAGACTCGGGGTTGAGCGACCACATGTACCCCCCGGCATACCGGTCTTGGACCATGACGTCGATCGTGGCGTCCGTCGCGCGCTGCGTCGTCTTGAGCGGGTGCAGGTCCGTCGCGTACAAGCCGGCAAACTCGCCGAGCACGACCGCGGCATTCTCTGGCACGAGGTGCCCAAAGCTGTCCTGCATGACAGCACGGACGTTCCTCGCCAGCGTCGCGTCGTCAAGCTCGTCGAACGTGACGGGATCTTTATAAAAGTACGCCATCGGGTAGACGCCCGGCTACATCGTCACCGTCAGAGCACTGCGATAGAGGCCAAGACACGTACGTTGTAGTAGTGGGGTGCCCACACGAGCTTATTTGCGGCCATGAGCACGACCGGCGACTCCTTCGCCTTGTGCAAGCCCGAGCCCCACCAGTCGGCGTACGTGATGTTGGTGCCGTCGTCGACCGCCACCGAGTGCTTCTCGGCGTACACGCCTTCGACGAACGCGAGCCAGTTGGGGCAGCCGGCGAGCATGCGGTTGCCAATTTTGCGCGCGCCAAGGACCCAGTCGGTCGCGGTGCCCGTGCCCCACGTCGCCTTGTGCGGCTCGTTCTTGAGGTCGATGCCCAGCACGTTCCAATACGCGTCCGAGCAAAGCCCGGCGGCGAGGAGGTCGATCGAGTCGAGGAAATCGTTTTCGGAAATGTCGGCGTTGTACCAGAGGCCGCCCGAGTTGAGTGGCTGCGGGAGGAGCGCGTGCATGCTGAGCATGACGGTGATCTGGCGGTAGGCGAGCGCCTGGATGAGCGTCTGCAGCGCCGACATGTAGGACGTCAGGTCCAGCGCGCGGTTGGTCATCTTGTTGACCAAGCCCGCTTTCGGCGGCGTGTTTTTCAAAATGTGCTGCACGCACACGGGTATCCGCACGCTGTTGAACTTGTGCTTGTCCAGGAACGCAGCCACGTCATACTAGCAAATGCGTGGGTGACGAGGACAATATGACCACACGGTGCGTACCACGGTCGTGCCGTTCTTGTCGTTTTGCCACAAGCCAAACGGAATCGCGTCCATCCTACTTGTCGTCATCTCTGTAGACTGCAAAATGGGTCGACGTACGTCTCCATGCCAAACCAGTTGGTGCCCTTGATCCCGACGACGACTTCGGTCCCGTTGGGCGCGACAGCGACGATGCGGCCGTTCTTGCTCACATAGTTGGGCAGCTTGCAGCCTAGTTGCATAGTCGGTTTGCGATACAGACATGTCGTTAGCGTACGCTTTTGGTCGTACGTCATCGGGTTGTTGATGAGCCCGTCTTCGTCCATCTCGTAGCTGCCGTCCCCGATCCAGCGCTTCCCCGCCATGCGCTTCTGCGCCGCGACCTTGAGCGCCGCGGACTTTGTGTACGAGTCGTGCCCGCCGACGACGATGAGCACGGTCGCGACAAGTACGATGACGAGGAGCAAGAGCGCACCGGGCCACCGCCGCAGCCGGCCCTTGTACTCGTGCGGCGCTTCGTCGCGGTGCAGGTCGGCGACCGTCGTGATCTGCATGAGTGGTCGCGCGTCGTCGTCGTTCTCAAGCACGGGCGGCTGGTCAAAGAGCGTTTGCCGCACCGAGAACTGGTGGTTGAGACTCTCCCAGTGGTCGGCGCCGGCGGTCGCCACGACCACGTTGGACGTGCGGTCGTAGCGCTCGATGGTCACGTCGCTGCCCCGCACTCCGCCGCTTGTCGACCGGCTGAACGAGTGCCCGAGGTCGCTCTCGGCGACCGTCGTCGTGCCGGTGAGGCACGCCTCGTCGTCGTTGTCGGCGGCGTCGCCGGGCACGTCGACCTCGAAGCGCGCGGCGCGGTCCTCACGGGCAAACGCGACTGAGCCGCGCCCCGATGGCCGCGTATCGAAGGACGGGCGCGCGTCAGTGTTGCGGGACATGGCCTTGTGTACGACCCACTGCTGGGGTTTCAACGAGTAGGCTGCCAATCTGAGCCCGCGATGCAAGCTGCAAGACACGCCAAGCGGTAGCGAAGTGCACCTTGCATTACGTCTGCCAGCTGGTGCGCGTGAGCTGGTCGCGCAACGTCACGCAGATGGACTTGTCGAGATATCCGTGCACGCTTGCTACTGCCTTGGCCCACTCGACCGCCAACGGCTTTGACCAGGACCGCCATGCGGGGCTCCTCGCGGCACGACCTCATCGGACGCGCCGCCATGGTCGCGCCTGCGTGCGTGTGCCCAGGAGTAACCGAAGTTCGAAGCATCCCAAGGACAAAAGTTGAAGCCGGAAATTTAGCGCCCGACGACGTCTGCACCAGCGTCCATGCACGTGCGCACCACGACCAGCAAAAGTCGGTTGCGCCAACAGCCTCGTCGGTCGTCGACGCCCGCTTCAATGTCGTGCGCAAAGAGACGGCCGGGATTTTCGAAGCCAACGCGACTGGTCGGTCGAAAAACGCGTTTCGGCCAATCAACGCTTGGCGTCGCGATCCGGATACCCAAGGGTCACCTTGTTTCGAAAAGCCATTTTCCGAAGCATGAGCGGGCCCGGGTACGCGCGGGAGATGCACATGACGGCGCCGTTCTTCGGGCGCGAGCCAAGCCCCAAGGCGTACGTGTACTCAAGCGCGCATGCGACGTGGTCGGCTCAGGAGCTACACCTGCTGCACAAGGGACTGACGCAGTACCCGGCCGCCGAGTACGACAACGTCACGCGCTACATCAAGATCGCGGCCACGATCCCAGGCAAGTGCATCCGCGACGTTGCTGTCAAGGTGCGCTCAATGCAAGCGTCGCATGAGAAGATGGCCGAGCCGCCGTCCAAGCGACCGAAGATGGAGCACGCCGTACGCGCCTCGTCCATGCCAAGGTCTCAACCACGCCTGTTAGGATGCGCACGACGTCTCGTGCGAAGAGCAGATCAAGCAGAGCCTGCAGGTAGATGATTGCGCAGCTGGCAGAGCTGACGCGCGCTGATGATGCAGACCAATGTCAGCGTCATCAACACGATGCGCGCCAACTTGGCGACGGGCGACCTCGACGACAACGTCCAGCTCATGGTGCAGTTCCGTGACTCGTGTCATTCGATATTTAAAAAGTATAAGGTGCAGGCGGATGGACAATAATGTCTGTTATGACGTAGACTCCACACTGTGTGCTCGGCCGTGCCGCCCCTTCAGATCAAGATCGACACGTCGCTCATCCCGCTGCACATGCGGTCGCCCAGCAACCAAGACGACGTGTAGGCGACCTCTAGACAAACTTGTCCGCAACACGTAGTACTAACGATGTCTTCGGTCTCGACTCCGACTGCGCTTTCGGTCCCGGCTGCGACTGCGCTTCCTCGATGCATCGCGGCTCTGCTGCTTGCCGTGGTCTCGGCTGTCAATCCGCGGAGCGCGCTCGCGGCTGCGGCTGCGGTCGCGCGAGCTACGAGACCGATCGTTCGCCTTGGACGATGCACGGGCGCTCGGAGGAGCGTCGCTACCAGCTGTGGACGCGCCTTCCCGCGGCTTTTCCACGAGGCGAATCGGCTTGGTGTCGAGAGCCATGTTGCGCTTCTTCTTCTTCGAGTCGCCGGGCATCGGCGGCTTTGGTGTAGCACCAAGACCAAGGCGTTGGTGGCGCATCTGCACTTTCGAGCCCGTGGGCTGCACGCGGTCCTTGCCCGACCAGCCCATGCCTCGAAGGAGGGCTGCGCCAAACTCTTCGATGGGCACCGCCTCGTACGCATCGCTGTAAATATCCATGTCGTCGGGGCGCATGGAGATGTCATGCTTGAACTTGTCGTTCTCGTTTGTGAGGTTCTCGAGGCCCGGGAGCTTGTTGCGGTAGAGGATTGGAGCATCGTCGCCGGCCGCCGGCTTCTTCGCGACAGGAATGACCATGGTCGAGTCCTCGGCACTTTCGCTCATCGTTGTCGAGCGAATGTCAGCGAGGAGCGCCTCGGCGGCAGCCGAGTCGGCCTCTGTCGCCCCCTTCTCGGTCCAGTTTTGCTCGATGAGTGGGATCACGAGCTTGGCCTTCGCCGCCACCGGGTCCTTGAGCAGCGCCTTCCCGGACGTGCCAAAGCCGAGGACGAGGTCCTTGCTCGTCGGCGCCGTCGCCTCCTTCTCGACGCGGAAGCCTCCGGCGGCCGGCGCGGCCACCGCCGGCTTCTTCTTGCCCTTGAGCGTGAACCCGACCTTCATGCGTTCCGAGAATTATTCTCGCGCCGGCCAATCGCTATCGGCAGTCGACATCTTTATCAGCCAATCAAATACGCATCACCAGATTATTGCTGACTATGGTCGTGGCCCGCTGGGTGCATCGACCGCAGCTTCATCCTTACCCGCTTGGACCATCCCATGGAACCATTCCATAGCAGCGCCCAAGGGATCAAGCTTCGCACGCGTCCCCGGCCATCCCTTCGACGCTAGGGCGGTGGATGTCGGCAACGATCCGACATGTCCCCGTATCCGGATATCCATTATCTTGAAGGGGCACACTCTGCAATAATAAGAACTCTGATGGCCAACCGCAGCGAGAGCGTCAAGGTCGTCGTGCGCATTCGGCCGCTGAGCACCAAGGAAAAGCAGGACGGGCGCACGTACATTGTCTTCTCCAAGCCTGCGGAAGGCGAGATTTCGCTCAACAACCCCGAGGCCGACGACCGCGAGCCGCCCAAGAAATTTACCTTCGACGCGTCCTTTGGCCCCGACTCGGAGCAGATCGACGTGTACAACTTGGCGGCGCGCGACATTGTGGAGAGCGCGGTCGATGGCTTCAACGGCACCATCTTTGCCTACGGCCAGACCGGCGCCGGCAAGTCCCATACCATGGAAGGCTACAACGACCCGCCCGAGCTCCGTGGCATCATCCCGAATTCGTTCAAGCACATTTTCGACAAGATTGGGTCGATTGCGAAGAGCCAATTCATGGTCTGCGCCTCGTACCTCGAGATCTACAACGAAGAGATCCGGGACCTCTTGGCGCCCGACCCGCAAAACCACCTCGAGCTCAAGGAGAACATGGACACGGGCGTGTACGTCAAAGACTTGATCGCGCGCCAAGTCACTGGCGTCGCCGAGATCGACGCCGTCATGCAGCACGGTACGACCTCCATATTGCCAAGCATCCGATCTCATGCCGAGGTGTAGGCAAGAAGAACCGATCGGTGGGCGCGACGCTCATGAACCAGACGTCGTCGCGGTCGCACTCGATGTTTATCATCACGGTCGAGACTGCGAGCACGGGCGTTGACGGGAAAGACCACATTTGCGTCGGGAAGCTCAACCTCGTCGACTTGGCGGGTAGCGAGCGGCAGGCCAAGACGGGCGCGACCGGCGACCGTATGAAGGAAGCGACCAAGATCAACCTGTCGCTCTCGGCGCTTGGCAACGTCATTTCAGCGCTCGTCGACGGCAAGTCGCAGCACATTCCATACCGCGACTCGAAGCTCACGCGCTTACTGCAAGACTCGCTCGGCGGGAACGCCAAGACGGTCATGATCGCCAACTGCGGTCCCGCCGACTACAACTACAACGAGACGCTCTCGACCCTTCGGTACGCCAACCGCGCGAAAAACATCAAAAACAAGCCCAAAATCAACGAAGACCCGAAAGACGCCAAGATCCGCGAGTTCCAAGAGAAGATCAAGGAGCTCCGCGAGGCGCTCGCCGCGCAGGAGAAGGGTCTCGTGACGACGATGGTCGATGGCAAGGAAGTCAAGGTCTCCGCCGCGTCCCAAGCCCCCCAAATCGTTGAAAAGGTAATCAAGAATAGGTTGACAGGAGAGCTCACATCTCGGCGTAGATTGTCGAAAAGACCATTGTGCGCCGCGAAGGCGTCAGCGAAGACGAGCTCAAGAAGCTCCAGGAGGACGCGCTCCGCGAAAAGAACGAGCTCAAGAAGCGAGCGCAAATGGAGATGAAGGCGCTATTGGCGTCGCAGTCCAAGACGGAAGAGGAGCGTGAGAAGCTCGCAGCGCAACTCCACGAGAAAGCCCAGGCAAAGGAGCGCCTCGAGAAGAAAAAGACCGAGATGCTTTCGCAGCTGGCCGAGTACGAAGAGAAAGTCATCATGGGCGGCCAAGTCCTCGACAAGGCCGCGCGCCAAGAGCTCGAGCTCCGCGACGCGCAGCAAAAGATCGACGAGCAAAAGCGACAAGAGATGCAGCTCGCGCGGGAGCTGGCCGAGCGGGAGGACTCCAACTTGCTATTGGAAGAGCAGTTTTCGTCGCTGCAAGAAGAGGTCGATGTCAAGACCAAGAAGCTCAAGAAGCTCTGGGCCAAGCACAAGGCGGCGTCGACCGAGATCGAGGATCTGCGCACTGAGTTTCAAGCCGAGAAGGAAGACATGCTCGAGACGATCCGCGAGCTCACGCGCCAGCTCAAGATCAAGCACTTTCTGCTCAACCACTTTGTGCCGCTCGACGATGCGTATGCGATCGAGCAGCGCTCCAAGTGGGACAAGGAGCTCGACGAGTGGAAGCTCGAGCATTTGGAGACGCGACCGACGAGCCTCCGGCCCAAGCGACCGATCGCCCGCCGGGGCGCCCGCCGCGCTGAGACCGAGTGCGCGCGCCGCAACCGCCAAATGGATCGCGGCAACCCGCGCTGGAAGAGCGACAACGTCATTTTGCTCGAGCTCGAGATGCCCGAGCGCCGGACGCGCGACTACGAGAGCGGTATGATGGGTTTCTGGCTCGACCGCATCGCCTCCAACGAGGACGAGTCTGAGATCGTCTTCGAGTCCGAGGCACCCGAGCCTGAAAAGAAGGCACCCGCAGGCCCGACGCTAAGCGACGCTGAGACGGACGCGGTGATTGCCGAGGTGCCGCACGTCGGGTTTGCACCTGCTTACCTTGTCGCTGTAGGCAAAAGCCGCCAAGGAAAAGGCGAAGAAGAGCACCAAGTCTCGGCCACCAACCGCGAGGTACGAGACGGCAAGAGGGAGCTTCTAACGAAATGCTGTGTAGCCGCCGTCGACGAGAGAGCGTGGACGAGACGTAGACGTGCTATCTCTAGCTTTCCTCTACACGTCGGTGGATATGGGGTCGAGACAACTCGTAATTTCGCTTTTTAAGATGCCTGCTTTCGCCGTCGACGCTGCTGACGCTCCTTCTTGCGTCGGACGAGCTCCTTTGCCGCCGCGTCTGGGTCGTCGAGTGCGTTGAGAGGCGACACGAGCGGCAGGAGGCACACTGGCGTCGACTTGACTGCTATTTCGTCTTCGTCCACGATAGGTGGGCCTGGAAGGTACCAGCTCGACTCGCCCGTCACCGAGTTGTAGTAGAAAACGTCGCCTTCGTCCGTTTGGCACTCGATCCACGGGTTCTCTACCCAGTACTGAGTCACATTGCATCGATACATGAGCCAGGATACCCGGCGGCGGGGTCATGAGGGCGAGGAGGTCCCAATGACCGGCAGCGCGGGCTAAAGCGTCGGCTGTGACCCCTTGCATGTCGGCGATACGCGGGTTGGCCTGGTGGTCCAAGAGCACCTTGGCAATTTCCAGGAGCCTGCCATTTCGATCAACGTAGTAATGTTGGTTTCAATGGCCTACCCGTGCTGCACCGCGAGGAGAAGCCCCGTGCTTCCGTCACTGGCAGGCCAGTCGATGAGGCTCGGCGCCACACCACAGAGATACGAGACTGTGTCGAGGCCGTAGCAGTACGTGCTGGCGCAGTGAAGCGTCGAGTACCCTCGGTCATCCACGTCCAAGAGGTTAGCGCCGAGCTCGAAGAGCAATTGCAGCATCTACACCGTGTGCGAGGCATCCGGCAGGCGTCGGATAAAAGTACCTTGGTTTCACCCATGGCCGCCGCCGCCAGCACCGCCGAGACGCCACCGCCATACCGCGTGTGCACGTCGACGTCAAAGTCGAGAAGGAAGAGCCGCACGATGGCCGTCTCGCCCGCCGCACTCAGCAGTAACATCGGCGCCTCCCCCCTACGCCTTTATGAGACCTCGCTCATCGGCTGTGAGAACGCACTTGGCGTTGACTGCGTAAGCGTCGGCACCATAGTGCAGCAGGAGGCGGAACACCTCGATGGGAGCACCCAGCTTGCAGGCGACTAGTTGAGTCACGAATCATCATCATCCCAGAGCAACGAGCGTCTGGACGCACCCAGCAGCATCGAGTTGCCGTCGGTGTCGGTGTTGGTGATGGCGGCCGGGTGCGACTGCAAGATCGCTTCCAGCTCGTCGACGTCGCCGCCCCTTCGCTACGCAAGAATGATTGAGCAAAACGAAGTGTGTCCAAAGATGTACGAGGCAGGCGCCAACGGCTTCTGTCGCCTCGGCACCCGGCGGCGCGCCGAGGCAGAAGATGGCTTCGCCGAGCGCGCTCAGCCACGCGTTGCGCTCGTCTTGCGACTCTGCGCGAAACGTGATGCAGCTCTGCAGCGTGACGACCTGGAAGCAGTCGTCGTCGAGCGGCGCGACCCGCACGACCGTCGTAAACGGCACTTGGTTGTGCTCGTCCTGCAGCGCGTGCGCGGCCTCGCGCCACTAGCTTGTTTGTCAGCATCCGCAGTAGCACGAAATGACCGCTAATACCTCGAGGCTTGTGGCAGCAATCTCGCACCAGTATGGACGAGGCGCGCCTAGCTCGAGGCGGCGCGGACGGCGGGCGCCACGACACGTCGCGGCGTGGCGCTTGAGATCGTCCAGCGATGTGACCCAGGCGTCGCCGCAGCTATCGCATCGGTGTGGGAAGGACGCGTCGGCGTCGGCGCTGTTGGAGCCTTCGCTCGGAAACTTCCAGAGGAACCCAAAGCCGACGCTGGGCCTCGCGGTCGCCTCCTCGCGCATCATCCTGCGGTCGCAATCCCACTACCGTTACGCAAACCGTTGCAACTGCTATGTAATTACAAGCTGTCAACGAACTCGGACGTCGACGCCATGTAGCCAGCGCCCATGCGGTCCATCGCGCGCATGATGGCGTCGTGTTCGTCGCTTGTCTCGAACGCGATCGCGTCTTCGAGGACGATGGTGCTATACCCGCGGTCCATGGCGCCGCGCACCGCAGCTTCGAGGCTCCCGAGCGTCGAGACGCCCGTGACAACGACGCACTGGACGCCGAGGTTCCGCAAGAGGTAGTCGACGTTGGTCGCGCCAAAAATGCTATCACTGCGTATAGCACACAGTCCGAGGACGTCGATTTACCTGACCGCCGTGCGGGGCACGACCACGTCGGCTTCGAGCGGCGCAACGTCGTCGAGCACCTTGGCCTCGAAGCTGCCCCGGGGCACGTGAATGCCCGCGATCTTGTGCGCCTTGCTTCTATCGCGGCCGGTTTTGGTGGCGCTCTCGATCGTGCCGTAGAGGATGTCGTAGTTGCGATCCCGGAAGGCTCCGAGAAGGCGCTGGACGTTGGGCACGACGACCTTTCGCAGCCGGTCAAAGTAATACGCGTTTAAACTCTCCTGGTTGGCAAACTTGCCCACGTGTGGCATGGCGCAGTAGTACTGCATGTCGAGGACGAGGAGCCCGAGGGACGACGCTGCCGTCATCGCGTCGGGTTTGGTGTCAAAGCGCGGTGCTGCGCGTGGCGAAATGCATTTCGTGTCGAGGTGCGGCGTCCCGACCGCCACTGCGACCGCGGATGGCAGGGGCACCGCCTCGCACAGCAGTGCCGGCATTGTCGATGGCTCGGGCGACACAAACTTGGTCATACTCGCTTCTTTGGCGAGCCGACTGCGCAGTAATAGCGTGGCCTCACGCTGCTGGCGCTCGCGGTCTTGCTGCTTGAGGAGCGCTTCAGCCTCGGCGAGCTGCCGCCGCTTTTCGGATGCCTGTGCGTCAAGGACCGTCGAGGCCTCGGCGGCGCTTAATAGCACGATGGCAATACGCAGGCTCATTGCGTCCGAATCGCCAAGCAGATCCAAGAGGTACTGCGCCGTCTCGAAGGGTGCCATGACCGCCGGAATGCGCGACCGGAGGGCCGCACGCTGGAGGCCGGCGTCCATGACAAAGGCCAGCTGCGGGTTCTCCTCGTCTGTGTTGGCTACAATGAGGCCAATGGCACCCGCGTTCTGGGCGTGCAGCGTCTTGGTCACAAAGTCACACGTGCCCCGCTGCATGAGCACGATCTTGCCAGCGACGGCCCTAGCGTTGCGCAGTGGCGTCGCGCCCGAGATGGGCTCGGCGACGACAAGCGCGCCCTCGAGGCGGGGTGTCGCATACGCCGAGCTAAACTCGGCGAGCGGGCAGTAGTAGAGGTCGCCCTGCACGTCCACGAAGCTGCAGAGCATGCTCATATTGCCCTTTCCTGTGAAAACCTCTGTAAACGCATAGATACGCATCCTGTCACAATCGATGCTTGTCGTTTCGTCATGAAAAAGGCGCGCCATTTTGAGCGGCGTTATGCACCTATTCTCGGTGGCGCTATTCCCAATCTCGGGTCATCTTCAGTACCAAGAGCCGAAGGATATGTTCCCGAAGGTTAGCAACATCCTCCCGGCGACGCGTGCGAATGCGCCCAACGTGATCCATGTGACGGCCAAGGCAAAGCCCAAGACCAAGCCGCCGTCCGAGGGCAAGCCGCCATCCGAGAGTGGCCACCCATCCGGCTGCCGCGTCGAAGAGAACGTCGAAGGCGTCATTCACGAAGAAGACCGCGCGGGTACGATCCATATCTGGGCGCTCGGTGTTGTCTGCGTCATGGGCGGCCAGCTCTACGGCTGGAACGCAGCATTCGAGACTGGGTTTGTGCCGTTCGCGATCTCCCAGGTGATGACGGGCGTCGCGTACGTCATTTACATTTCGTCAGCAGCCGAGATCTCCGGCAAACTCGCCTTCTCTGGCGGCTCGTATGGGCTCACGCGCATCACGCTCGGCTTTTACGCAGGCTTCATCGTCGGATTTCTTGAGCTCTTGGCGTACATTGCGTCGGCGGCCGTCTCGGTAAGCTACGTTGCCGACTTTCTCACAACGGCATGGGACCTGCCCAATAGCTACAAACCGGTCTTATGGTTCGTCTTTTACGTTGTTTTTATCGGGATTTTGCACCTCCGCGGCAAGTACATGTGGCGCTTCATGGTCGTCTTTGCGCTCTCGTGCCTCTTGCCGAGCGTGCTCTTTGTGCTCCCGAACCTCGGGCGCGCCAACCTGCGCGTCTACGGTGCGCTCTACGACAATAGCACCGACGGCAGTAATAACGCGACCTCGTCGAGTGCGATCTGGGCCTCGGGCACTCTGAGTTCGGCGTTCTTTGCGTGGATGCCGTACACGTCGTGGGCGTATGCCGGCGTCGAGTGCCTCACGCTCGTCACGAGCATGGTCGCGAACCCCAAGCGCGCGATGCCACGAGGTATGGTCGCGGCTACGTGGACGCTCTTCATCTCCAACATTGCACTTATCTTTATCGTCCCGTCGCTCCCTCCGGGCATGAACGAGCTCATTAGCGCCGAGTTTCCGCTCAACTACGGCTTCGCGCTTGGCCTCGGCGCGTCCGAGACGGTCGGCCAGTGGCTCATCTTGCCGGCGCAAATGGGCATGGCTGCCGGCTTCTTCCTCCCGTACGCGCAGCTCACAATGGCGCTTGCCAACTCGAATTTACTCCCGGCCTGTCTCAAACTCAAAAATCGAGCTTCGACGCTCTGGCCGATGGTTGCGTCGTCCATGTTTGGGTACCTCCTCTGCACGCTGGGGCACTTGAGCCCGTCCTTCCAAGCGTCGACGCAAAACATCTTCATCTTGTCGGCCACGTTTTGCTATGTCGCGCAGCTTATCGGCTTTGTCAAGCTCCGCACCACGTACAAGACTCCGCCGGACGGCTACAAAAGTCCATATGGCATTCTCGGCGCGTACTTTGCCGCGTTTGTGTACGGCTTGATGGCGCTCTCGATCGTCGGCGGCTTCCAGGGCGACGACGGCGTCGCGGCCATCGCGCTCCTCCTCTTCATGGGCCTCCTCTCGATTTACTACCACGCGGTTGGGAAGCATGTGCAAACGCTCTCGAAAGACGAGTATGCGTCCGTCTTCAAGTTCTCGATCATGAAGTACAACCATACGCGTGCCAAGCAACTCAAGGCCGCCAAGCTCAAGGCGGCCAAGCAGCATTCTGGCGCGACCAGCTCCGAGACCAACCACCGGTTTTGGCACAAGTGGCTCAAGCACTCGACCAAGAGCACGGTCGCGCCGTCATTGAGCAAGACGTCGGTGAGCACGCATCCGAGGTTGCCGCCCAAGACGCATTAGGTGGCTCTTGCATTGGTGTACATATGTATAAAGAAGAATCCACCGTCTCGCTTCTTGCTAATAGCTGTATTTGGGCACTTGGCGTGCAAAGAGGGTGATGCCTGACGTCGCCAAGTCCTCGGGTGCGACCGGTGTGTGCCCGCAACCCCAACTCGCCCTTCGCGAGATTTTGCACGGGCATCAGAAACGGCGGCCGCAGGCCTTGCACGGTAAACATCGGAGCACCATCGTCCACGGAGGCGCTCTGTCGTAACTGGATCGCATGGGCGGCAGGAAGATGTTGCCGCGGTAGTTTTGGCGCGGCAGGGCGTCTCATACGTGGGATGCACTCAGCAGCGACATGGGCAAGGGAGACGAAGTGCAATATGACGTGGCACTCGTGTTGTCGAGACTGCTTACGTATATCTAATTTAGCGGGAAAGCACCTGGATCGTGTCCAGAATGTCGGCAAACTCAATGTCCTCCTTGAACTTCTTGGGGCGCATCGTGTTCTCCGAGTTGGGCGTCACGACATACGACGCATCCTCGGTCGTCCAGCCGAGCTCTAGAAGAAGCGGATGAGGAAGGGCAGACAACGACGACGACGTACCCGCGACGAGCGCAGCGACTTCCTTTTCTGACAAGTTCAACTGGGCCTGCACAAACGCCTTGGCGACCACTTCGTGGCTCTTGGCAATCGTCGACAAAATGAACGCGCGCACGGCCTGCTCGAAGCCAGGAATCTTCTTGGCGAACGGCAAGTTGAGCTGCCAGAAATCCTGCAGGCGACACATGAGACGATGTTGGCCAACAGGACAGGAAGCGAGGCGCACCGTGAACAAGCACGACTGCAAAACGTCGCCGGCCTTGAGCAAGTCGGCAATGGTGGCGTCCTAATGCGCGTTAGCGACCATGGTCGCGGTGCGGAACGGACCTTGCGCAGCGCCTCCGAGACCATGTACGTGGCGCCAAGGAAGTACTTGGACGGCAACGCCATGAGGCCCTTGGCGAGCACCTGGGCGACACGCGTCTGGTGCTGCTCGGGCTTGACCGGGTAGATGGTGTAGAGCTTGAGGAGCATGAGGTTGGCTTCCTCGTCGACGACGTTGCCAGCGATCTGCTCGTCCAGGTAGGCCTCGAGGAGGCCGACGAGCTTCTCGTCCATGCCATCGGCGGCGACCTGCGCGCGGACCGCGGCCGCGGCCTTGGACGTCGCGTCCTTCTCAAAGCTCACGAAGCGGCTCATCTCAATAAGATAATGGGCTGGCGCGGAATAAAATAGCTCAAAATCACGTCTTTTTAATGGCGCGTTTTTTAATATTCGACCTCTTGGATACAAACAACAAATGGATTTTATGCCAAGGCCCGACATCAGACTCAAAAATAATATCCTGCAATTGAGTGGTTCGTGCCCATTGACCTCCCAAAACGCATACCATGTGGCGATTTCATTTGACAGGTTTTCTATGTGTTCTTGTAAAAAGGTCTCCAAGTGTCTGTAACGAGGGCTCGAATTTGAATCCTCCAGCGGGGGAATTCAAACGGCCAAGAACCGCAGCGGCAAGCGCAGTACGATGGCCGACGTGGACATGGAAGACATCAGCACGATGGACGAGGTCGACGAAGATGCTTCGAGCACGGAGGTAGACGCTCCTATGGCGCCTGCGTCGCCGGCGCGCCCCGAGCCCGCGATCGCTCCGAGCGACGCGGCGAGCCAGGGCCTCACGACCCCGATGCAGACGCCGGCCAAGAAGACGGCGCGGCCGTCCATGGTGCCCGAGACGCCGAGCTACTTTACACCGTCGAAAAGCAAGGTGGCCGTGCCCGCGGGGCCGCGGCTCATGATCACAAAGCTTGAGGTCGAAAACTTCAAGTCGTACGCTGGCGTGCGCGAGATCGGCCCGTTCCACAAGTGCTTTAGCTCGGTCGTCGGGCCCAACGGCAGCGGAAAGAGCAACGTGATCGACGCGCTCCTCTTTGTCTTTGGGAAGCGCGCGAAGAAGCTGCGTCTCTCCAAGGTCTCGGAGCTCATCCACAAGAGCAGTCTCTTCCAGAACCTCAAGGAAGCGCGCGTCTCGGTCTTCTTCCAGGACATTATCGACACGGGCGACGGCGACGATGACTATACCGTCGTGCCCAACTCGCAGCTCGTCGTGTCACGCACGGCCAACAGCCAGAACCAGTCTAAGTACTACATTGACGGGCAGCTCTCCAACTTTACCGAAGTCACGTCGCTTCTCCGCGAGCGTGGTATCGACCTCGACAACAACCGATTCTTGATTCTCCAGGGCGAGGTCGAGCAAATCGCAATGATGAAGAGCAAAGCCGAGAACCAGCACGACGAAGGCCTTCTCGAGTACCTCGAAGACATTATCGGCTCCAACCAATACGTTGCCAAGACGGAAGACGTCATGAAGGAGGTTGACGCGCTCAACGAAGCGCGCCTTGAGAAGCTCAACCGCGTCCGCGTCGTCGAGAAGGAGAAGGAGAACCTCGAAGATGCCAAGACGGAAGCCCAAGAGTACCTCGAGAAGGAGCGCGATGTGTACCTCAAGTCAAATATTTTATACCAGCTCTACCTGCGCGAGTCAACTGCCAACCTCGAAGAGTGCACGCTCAAGCGCGACAAGCTCAAGGAGAAGCTCGAGAAGGAGTCGGAGCGCATGGCCACGCACCGCGCCAAGCTCGACGTCGTCTCGAAGGAGTACAAGGTCGTCGACGACGCCTTCCAGAAGGTCAAGAACGACCTTGACACGGTCGAAGCCGAGTTTGCCGAGTTTGAAAAGCGCGATGTCAAGGTGCGCGAGGACCTCAAGTTCTCCAAGAAGCAGGCGAAGGAGCTCGCGGCCGCCCACACCAAGGAGGTCGAGAAGCACGATGCGCTCGTGGAGACCATGGCCGAGCACGAAGCCGCGATTCCGGACGTCGAAGTCGCGATCTCGGCGGGCGAGGCGGCGCTCGAGAAGGAAGAGGCGGTCTTGGACGAGATCCTCGAGAGCCACAAGGGCGAGGCCGCGCGCATGCGTGTGGGCCTCGAAGAGAAGCAGAACGCGCTCGCCCCGTACCAGCAAAATTTGCTCAAGATCCAGTCGACGATCGACACGCGCAAGACGGAGATCTCGCTCATCCGCCAAAACATGGAGAAGGCCCAAGAAGACATTACCAAGAACAAGGCGGCCATCAAGGACGCCGACAAGAAGAACATCGAGCTCGCAAACCAAGTGCAGACCATGGAGACGGAGCTCGTCGAGATGACAACCCGCGTCACAGATGCGCGGGCCGACCTCCGCGAAGCCGAGACCCAAGAACGTTCGGCGAACGCCCAGTACCAGAACGCCCGCGCCCGGGCCGACGAGGCGGCCCAGACGGCGCAGAACCAAACCTCGCGCAACCAAATGATGACGAAACTCATGGATGCAGCACGGTCGGGTGGCCCTTTGGCCGACGCTGGTCTTGTGGGGCGTCTCGGCGACCTCGGCGCGATCGACGCGCAGTACGACGTGGCGATTTCGACTGCGTGCGGCGGCCTCGACAACGTGGTCGTGCACACCACCGCTGGGGCGCAGAAGGTCGTCCAGTACCTCCGCAAGCACAACCTCGGACGCGTCACGTGTATTATTCTCGAGAAGATCCAGAACTTCCGGGCCCGAGCCCACGGGCCGCCGCCCAACACGCCGTACCCGCGGCTCTTTGATCTTATCCGCGTCAACGACGAGGCGCACCGCGTGGCGTTTTACTTTGCGATCAAGGACACACTCGTGGCGCCCACGTTGGAGGAAGCGAAGCAGGTTGCCTACAGTGGCCCGCGCTACCGCGTCGTGACGCTGCAGGGCGGGCTCATTGAGACGTCGGGCGCCATGTCGGGTGGTGGCAGAAACGTGCGCCGCGGCGGCATGTCGAGCCAGCTCGCAGCGCCGGCCGTGTCCCCGGAAGAGATGCAGGCGCTGCAGCGCGAGGCCGAGAGTTTCAAAGCCACACTCTACAGTATTCGCAGCAACCGGTCAAGCTTGGAGGGCGAGCTGCGGTCGCTCGAGGCTACGATCAAGTCGCACACGCACACGCTGCCCAAGCTTTCGATGGAGATTGATGCGTCCAAGCAGCGCAAGGCGACGATGGCGGCGCGCATCAAAGAGCTCGAGAAGCTCGTGCACCTCTCGCCGGAAGAGACGAAGCGCATCAAGGCGCTGGAGAAGGAGGTCGCGGCAAAAGAGGCTGAGTACGACAGCCACAAGGATGAAGTCGACGCGATGGAGGCCGAAGTCAAGCAGATGAAGAGTGCAATTCTGAACCTCGGCGGCGAGAAACTCAAGAAGCAGCACAAGAAGGTCGAGGCGACGCGCAAGGAGATCGACGCCAAGACGAAAGAGCTGACCAAGCGCCGCGTGGACCTCAAGACGGGCAAGAAGAACCTGGAGCGGTCGGTGGCGACCCAAGCCAAGCTCGCTGCCGACATCGACGCCACGAAAGCGCGGCTCGAGGCGCTCCGCGCGGAAGCCAAGGAGATTGAAGACTCGGCGGCGGCGGTCTCGGACCGCCACGAGGCGGCGCGCCAGCTCATGGAAGAGCACACGAGCGTCATGAACGACAAGCTCCAAGAGTTTAATACGCTCAAGAAGACGGTGGACGAGATGGCGTCGCGCGAAGTCGACTTGCTCAACAGCTACGACGAGTGCCTCGTGGTCATGTCAGAGAACGAGAAGAAGGTCGCGACGTGGTCGGTCCAGCTCACGTCACTGCGCGCGAGATTTCAAAAAGACGAAGAAGACATTGTGCTCATTTGTGGTCCGCCGGCCGACGACGAAACTCCGAACGCGACCGATGACGACGGTGCAAGCCACAACGGTTTGCCTGTCTACGACGCGGCGGCGCTCTCTCGCTTCTCCAAGGAAGAGATCAAGTACGAGCTTGCATTCTTGATCCAGCAGCGCGACGAGCTCAAGGCCAACGTCAACATGGGCGCGATTGCGCAGTACAAGAAGAAGGAGAAAGAGTACATCGCACGCAGCAACGAGCTGCACGCGGCGACAGACACGCGCGACGCCAAGCGCCGCGAGTACGAAGAGCTGCGGCGCAAGCGCCTCGAAGACTTTATGGACGGCTTCCGCGCGATCACGCTCAAGCTCAAGGAGATGTACCAGATGATCACGCTCGGCGGCGACGCGGAGCTCGAGCTCGTCGACTCACTCGACCCGTTCTCAGAGGGTGTCGTCTTCAGCGTCCGGCCTTCGAAGAAGAGCTGGAAGAACATTTCGAATCTCTCGGGCGGCGAAAAGACGCTCGCATCGCTCGCGCTCGTGTTTGCGCTGCACCACTACAAGCCGACGCCATTGTACGTCATGGACGAGATTGACGCAGCCCTCGACTTCAAGAACGTGTCGATCGTCGGCAACTACATCAAGCAGCGCACCAAGAACGCGCAGTTCATCATCATCAGTCTGCGCAACAACATGTTTGAGCTCGCGGACCGTCTCGTCGGTATCTACAAGACCAACAACACGACCAAGAGTGTCACGATCAACCCCAAGCACTACGCCGGCCTCGCCGAGCCGACGCCCATGACGCCCTTCAAGACGCCAATGAAGACGCCGTACCAAGAACGGCGGCGCTAAGGAGAAGACTCGTAATATGTGATGCCCAATTGCTTGATGATGCTGTGGTGGTTGTATGACGCATGGTGACGCAGGATGCAACCGGTCATGACGGACGTACCACCTTTGACGGACCAGACGAGCATCTTGCCTTGCGATGTGACGGAAGACACGGCGAGAGAGGGGTCGTAGTACTATATAATATGGGAGGTTTACGCGTCCGTCGTCGCCGTCGTCGTCGTCTGTGCTGTCATGACCGACTCGACCATGCCCATGACGCTGAGGATCGAGGCCTGCGTCGCCAACTCCTCCTTGATCTTGGCCTGGAGCTTGAAGAAGAGGCCTTCGAGCACGACGCTCGACTGGTTGGTGCCCAGCAACGGGCTGTAGAGCTCGATGAGGTACGTGCAGACGCGAATGAGCAGCGGCGCGTACTTGGGGTCGGTCACATACCGGTTGCAGAACGAGAGGAGCGGCTCCAGCGTCTCTTCCGTGCGGTACGTCAGCGCCTTGTGCCAGCCCGACCGAAGCCGGAGCTCCTCGAGCATGCTTGCAACGACCGTCGGGTCGCGCGTGTCGAGCGCGTCGTCCAGCGCCTTGCGGTAGTCGAACGCACGCAGCGCCTTCTCGTACGGCGCGCAGCGGACGTTGCGGCGCGCGGTCACGACGTGGTCAGCGTCCGTGGGCTTGGCCTGCGACCCGCGCAGGAAATACTTGTACGAGCCGCCGCGGGGCGCCGGGACTTCTTCGTCGAGCTTGATCGCGTTGGCCTCTGTGACCATGCGCTTGCGGACCGTGAGGACGCCGTCGGCCGTACCGACCGCGAGGTGCGAGTTGGACGGCGTCATGGCCAGTGAGAGCACACCCTGCTTGTACTTGAAGCCGTGCACAACCTCGTACGATGCGAGGTCGTAGATCTTGACATGGCCGTCGAGCGAGCCGGAGAGAAGGCGAGTCTTCTGGCCGTCGAGCGCCAAGCACGTGATCGTCTTCTGATGCGAAGAAAACGAATGCAAAAGCTTCCCGCCCGTGAGGAGGTCCCAGACCTTGATTTCGTTCGAGCCCGCCGAGATGAGGAGGTTGCCGCCCGGCAGCATGACGCACGCCTCGACCGGCGACCCGTGGTCCATCGACAGCGTCGACTTGGGGTTCGCGCTGCGCGTGTCCCAGAGCTTGACCGTGTGATCGTACGACGCCGACGCCCAGACGTTGGTTGACGTCGGGTGCGGCGCGCAGACGCGGACGTAATCCGTGTGTTCGCCGTAGACCGCGACGGGCGACCCGGTCGCGAGGTCCCAGAGCCGGCACGTCTTGTCATCCGAGGCCGAGAAGATGTGCACGTTGTCGTTCGAGAACTTGGCCGCGCGGACGGCGCCCTTGTGGCCGTTGAGGTTACGCAGCACCGTGCGCGAGCCAACGTCGAGGACCGCGACTTGGCTGTTGGCATTGCCCGTCACGAGGAGCTTTCCGTCGCTGCGAAAAGACGCCGAGTACACGACGTCATGGAAGCGCGAAAACGTCTTCTTGACGTCGTTGTTACTCGTGCCGTAGAGCTGGACGCGCGTCGAGGTCGCGGCCGCAAAGTCAAAGGGCGCGACCGGGCTCGCATCAATGCAGGTGACTGCCGCGACCTGCGGCAGCTCCGTCGGCGCACGGAGCTTGGTCCAGTACGTCTTCTCCGGCGACGACTGCTTGGTCGCCGTCGGGAAGTGCTTCAAGGGCAGCTTCTTGAACTCCATCTTGGGCGGGCGCGGGTGCTTCTTGAAGTTTGAGGCCGACTCCAATAAGACTGCTGGCCAGTGGTTGGCCAAAGGTCCAATCATTGGTCGAGATACATACCTCTGGAATTCCATATCGAATCCGATACATGGCGTATTTGAAAAACACCCAACTATGGGTCGACGTCACCTGCAGACCCAGCCTTAGGTGGCGTGCACACAGACACTTCAACTTGAACACAGTCGTGGGTGGAGTACGACCATTCGACACACGGCGCGCACCTCGCGCGAGGTACGTGCGTCCTTGTACGAGACGGTATTCTTGTGTGCAGAGACGGTCGTGTACCTACGTGAGAGGCTCGCTACAGCAGCCTGCGGGGGAAAGAAGCAGGCGGAGTACGTCTCTTGTATTTGATATATTGTATAAATAAATGATTTATATTTTTCTCACAGTATTGCAATCCCAGTTCCGCATGGCATACCAAGGCCGCCGGCGCCAGCGCATCCTCGAGCGCGACGAGCCGACGGCTCTGCTAGCATCGTCAACGCATGAGGACGCCGATGACGATGCTACCACTGCCGCCCATGCCCACACTACCTCCGTACCAGAGCGTCCAAACACACGTCTCCTGCCGCCCGAGACAGGTGCGACGCATCCAGAGGCCTCGCTTACCGATGTGTAGAGGGCCCGAGTGCCCCAGAGCCCAGCATGGCCGACCGTGTCCGAGCCAAGCTCCAGCGCAAATCCGACGCCAAGCCTACGGCCAGGTCAGTGCCAATGACGCGGCAAAAGGTCAAGCTCGTGGTCGAGCCCTCCAAGTCGGGCGCGGGCAAAGCGCGGACGCGGCTGCTGATCAATACGATCGGGCGCGGCGTCGACGCAACGAGCTTGCAGCGCGCGCTGACGGCGACGGCCAAGCGGGTCCAGTCGCGCGAACACAGTAATCGAAACGTGGCAAAACCGCAGCATGCATTAACACAAAAAGACTAGAACTCGTAGATGCTCCTCACGGCGCTACCCGCGGCTGGAACCGAATCGTGGGCCGGATCGAGAGCGCTGGTTCGGTCGTCGGCGCGGCATCGACGGGCGATGCCGGCGCGACGTGGCCAACCAGCGCCTCGCCGCCAAACGACTTGCTGCTCTTTGGCAGCTCGTGCTTCATGCGGCAGTCGGCGCCGTCGGGGCAGTAGCCCCGCACAAACGCATCGCAGATCGCAGCGTCACGGCTGACGTTGACGTGCCGGAATGGGCAGTCCTCCCGTGTGCACACCCCCTTTAGGAAGCGTGTACACACTGGCATCTTGTTCTACGTCGCGTGAGCGCCAGCAAGGACGAGATGCGATCTACCTGGTCGCGGACATGTGACAGCGTGCACGCCGCATCGTCGCATTCGCCGCGAAGAAACTTGCGGCACACGGCCACCTTGCGGCTGTCGTGGATGAACGGGCATGCGTTCTGCTTGTTGCAGACGCCTAATGGCACATCGTCGCAACGAGGTAGCGCAAGCGGAATCGTACCAAAGCGAGTGTAGTAGCGGCAGTACTCGGTGCGCGTGGTCGCCGAGGCTGGCGACCTACAAGGAAGACACGCATTCGCACACCGCGACGACCTTGGAGGCGCGTACGGCGAAACGGTGAATGCGCTTCGCGGCTTGACGGCAGCTGGCGCGGTGCTGTTGGACGTGTTGTAATTCTGGCTCGGCGACCTACACAGAGCGATGATGTCGGGCACGCCGTCGCGGCAAGAGGGAGGCAGTACGGCAACGGAGCCACCGCCTAGGCCAGATGCCATCATGAGACATCGTCGCAACAAGGATCACGAATCGATCGCACATGGACCGCTGGAGCAGGCGGCGACGCGTCCGGCGCCTTCCACGTCAAGTTGCGGGACTTTGGCAACGGCCGGCGCGGCTGGTACGGCGCGTATGCTGGCCGCGGGTAGGCGCTCGGCCGAGTGTACTTGGGCACGGCGCGCACCATTGCGGCGCCGCCTTCGCGGGCGGCGATGACGTTCTTGAGCGCTGCGATGCGGGCGCGGACGATCGCTTCTTCCGTCGTCATGGCCAGTCGTAGAGGCTCCTTGCAAATGGCTCAAACTGGCTCACGCAGCGTGTTTTACGGCATTTTTCCGGAAACGTTTCATTTTACCGTCTTTTTATCGTCAGTCGGCAACCTGCAGAGCGAGTCTGCGCCCGAATTGGCCATCGACCAAATCGAGTCGCTCCTTAGCATGGCCTTCCGCCCCGGCGAGGCAAGACGCATGATGAGCAAGGCCGAGGAAGCCAAGGCGAAGGCCAAGCTTCTGCTGCCGCCGTGGATGCGCTCGTCGAGCGACCATATCAAGTCGGCCACGCGCAAGCGAACCGAGTCGATGAGCGGATCATCGACCGAGTCGCGCGAGGCCATCATCGCGCGCTGCCTGGCCATGCTGACGTCCATCTTCCCATCCTGGGAGGAAGATTCGCTGCGGACGATCCTCGAGGCGCATGGTACCATACAGTGCATCGTCTTGCCACCCATCATGATGATCGGATGCTTTAGAGTATGTCATCGACGACGCGATCACGACCGTACTGCGCATGGAGGAAGAAGAGGAAGAAGCGTCCAAGCGACTGAGCTTCTACGAGCCGCCAAAGCACCTCCAGTACACCCCCAAGCACCCGATCCCCGATGACTTTCTCCGTGTGCGTTGTTTCCGTCGCCATATTCGCACTGAGCTCATATACGAAGCAGGTACCGGGCTACCTCGACGCCGAGGGCGACGTCGACACGGACGTCGAGGACGCGGGCCGCGAGAGCATCGACGACTTTGACATGGCCTCGTCGCGGTCGCTGCTCCCACTCCCGTCGACGATCGCCGAAGACGACGGGACGATCTACGGCAAGGAGTTTGTTCGCGTCATGAGCGACGACGACGAGGCCAAGCCGCCGCCGACCGACGGTCCCGAGGTAGCCGCGTACGTAGTGCGCCTGTATGTACTTTGTCTTAGGCGCGAATGGCGTTTGTGGATCCAAACGCGAACCCCGAGGTGCTGCGGCAGAAGAAGACGCGCCCGAAATCGCGCACCGATACACTGTTTAGCCAGCTCACAATCATCAAGGTACCTCGTGGCGTCAGAAATACACTGTAATGTGTGTGCAGCGAAGCAAACTCGATATTGTCGGCGCGGAAGACCGAATTCGCACCCGCGAACCGCACCGCGTCCTCGACTGCCTCTCCAAGGCGAGCGTTCTCTACCGCAACGGACTCATTAGCAGCCAAGAGCTCGAGACGCTGCGGTCGCTCATCCTGCGCAAGATGCAGCCTTCGAAAATGGTACACGACCTCCTACAAGCACCATGTAGTAAGTATGGATGTAGCTCATGGACACGTCGGTCAACATGAACGCCGAGACGATCACCGACCATGAGTGGAACGGGCTTGTGCTCAAGGCCAAAGGTACCACCGGCGACGCAACGACCACTGCTTGACGCTGCGTAGGCCTTCGCCAAGCGCTCTCGATCCGCATCATCAAGACAATGCTCGTCGGACAGCACACGGCAAGCTCGTCGTTGCCCGCACTCGACGCTCACTCTGTACGTAGGAGTATGAGATTCGCACCAACGACCTCGAGACGGGCGTCGTCGTTGTCACGCGCAAGCGGTTCCGTGAGCTCCACAAGCTCCACCGCAAGGTACGCTGCCCGTCAAGTTGTCTCATCTCTATCATGTCTCGTAGCTGAGCCCGCTCTCGGCGCGCGTGAGCGCCTTTCCCTTTCCAACTCGGCACGCGGTCGCCAAGAAGGAAGATTGGCGTCTTGCGTCGCAGCGCCAGCCGCTGCTCGAAGCCTATTTGCGGCTGGTCGCGTCGCTCGTGACGCCGTCGCCTCTCACGAGCGACCGGGCGACGGCGCTGCAGATGCTGCAGTCATTTCTCAACCTCCCGTCGCCGTCGACGCTCAGCAGCAAGACGACGCTCCCGTGGACGCGCGTGCTTCGTGTCTACGCCTTCCACGTCCTCAACGACGGCACGACGCCCGAAGGCAAAGTCCTCAAGAAGATGGCCATCGAGTCGCTCGAGGATCTTGGCGACTGTCTCGACAACGTCCAGTCGTACATGCTCGACCACCGCTTCCACGACATGAAGGCGCTTCTTCCGTCGCCGCCCGACGACGACGATGTGCTGAACGAGTGGATATCGGACGCCATTCGACACGAAGTCGAAGAGATGGTGTGCATTCCGGTGCTCACGCCGCTCCTCTCGCGCCTCCAGTCGTCTGTCGCCGACCGCGAGCGCGTGATTGTAGGCCACATGAACGCACTTCGCGCCAAACCGCAGAGCTTTTTCGGGATCCCGCTGCACCGTCTTAGCGTGAGCTCGTGGGCGCGGCCGATCGAGACGCTCCGGGACATCGACGCGATGACGCTGCCGCTCGATAAGCACCGGAGGCTCGTCGAGGCCGCGATGCTCGTGCACATTGTGTACCAGGAAGAGCACGATGGCGCTGATGTTTTGAGCGGGGACGACTTTTTGCCCGTATTTATGTACGTGATCGTCCAGAGCCGCCTCGCACACCCCGTCGTCTTGCTCCAAGCCCTCAACGTTCTCTGCGACCCCGAGAAGCGCATTGGCCAGAACGGCTACTACCTCGCGTCGTACGAAGGTATCAATCTTTCAAGCTTTGGCATGGATGTATATGGATTGTGTAGCGGCCCTCGAACACTTGGCGTCGCCCGACTGCCTCACGTCGCTCGCATTTAGTGAAGCCGACGTGCAATAGCAAGCACAGCAGCGCTGACGCAACAGCTTTGGTGCATTCGCCGCGTTAAGATTCGTATATCGTCTGTATCCTTGCGTGTGGCCACCGACAAAAGCCACCCGTTCTCTTCCTTGAAGAGCAGCGCTCAACTCCTCACCGATGATCTTGCTTCGGGGAAAACGGAATTTCGCAGTCGGGTCGACGAAAGGGCCAGTGCCATGCAGAAACGTCAACAATTTTGGCATCCTTTCCCGTAGAAACCACTGCAGTAAATTGCGCGCTTGCGAGATTCTCGGGTCGAGCGCCGCAGTCCGAGTCCAAGGGCAAATGTAGTCCTTGGCCCAGATCGCAGGGCGATGCCGTAAGGTTACTGGGGCCGATTCGGCTGCGCGCCTCGCCTGAGGACTCGTCTTGTAGTTTGTAGACAGAGTGATCGTGGTGTATACTTTGGTGTAGGCTTGGGCCTCCTCGTTGCCTCCTCGTCGTTCAGCGTTTCTGTTGCATCCAGCGGTTGGGTCCATACACTGTTTGTCGATCGGTCACGATGGTGCTGATTGGATCGTGTAATAGAACGTGGGTGTATACGATGGCTCTCTCTCTATGAGCGTGTAGGACCTAGGACCCGTGTCGGTCTTCTCGCACTGCCTTCTGGGTCGTGAATCGGGAAAGGCTTGAAACAGAATATTAAATCGTGTAATTTGCACTGGTTTTGAAATGCGTACCCCGGGGTACGACATATTCGATTATTGGTCTTGTGGCCAGTTGCAATTTCCGCACAGTCGCCATGAGCACCAAGGTGGTCGACGACTTCTTGGCGTACCTCCAGGACCCCGACTCGGCGATCGCGGTGGCCGTCATCAAGGCGCTCACGGGCGTCGTCCAGCGCTCGAGCGCGAGCACGATGATGGAGATCGAGAGCGCGCTCACGGAAGCGGCGGCGCAGCTCAAGGCGGCCGCCGACGGGCCGGCGCCGACGCAGGCGCTCTCGTCCATCTCTGTCACGGCCGTGTGCCAGCTCTTCCTGCGCTACGTCACGCGCTGCTTCCTCGAGTTTGACGACTTTGACCAGTGCAAGAGCCAGCTCATCGACCGCGGCAAGCTCTTTGCCGAGACGTCGCTTTTGAGCCGGAAGCGCATCGCCGACCTTGGCCACAACTTTGTGCGCGACGGCATGCAGGTGCTGACGCACGGCGCGTCGCGCGTCGTGACCGGTCTCCTCCTCCAGGCCGCCAAGACCAAGCACTTTTCGGTGCTCGTGACCGAAGGCCGCCCGAACGGCGCCGGCTACAAGACGGCCGAGGTGCTCTCCAAGGCGGGCATCCCCACGACCGTCATCGTCGACGCCGCCATGGGCTACTACATGGAGAAGGTCGACATGGTGATTGTCGGCGCCGAAGGCGTCGTCGAGAACGGCGGCATTGTCAACAAGATCGGGACCTTCTCGGCCGCCATGATCGCGCATGCGATGAAGAAGCCGTTTTACGTGGCGGCCGAGAGCTACAAGTTTGCGCGTCTCTACCCGCTCAACCAGAGCGACTTTCCCCACAGCCGCAAGGACGACATGAGCAACCTCCCGGCGTGCGCGTGCCGGCCCAAGACGACGGCGCAGGCCAACCTCACGGTCGGTAGCCCGTCCTGCGACTACACGCCGCCCCACTACATCTCGCTCCTCTTTACGGACCTCGGTGTCCTCACGCCGTCGGCCGTCTCGGACGAACTCATCAAGCTCTATCAATAAAGGTCGCTCGCTCGCTTATGTTGATGGCGTGTGCCCAGCTGACGACGGGAGGAACTGACCGACAATGCCTTGAATGGCCGCGTAGCCTGGATCGCGCTTGGCCGACGGCAGCTGCAGCCACATGTGCCATACTTCCAACATGCGCGCACTCGCGCGGTCCTTCCAACTACACGTTCACTCGAGCTCTACCCTCAGAGGCAGAAGCGTACTTGGTTGCATCCGACACGCTTGCACCAACGTGCGGCAAGAGCACGTCCGTCGCCTCGGCCGGAAACGTCTCTGGGGACTTGACGATGTAGGCGTAGGCGAGACCCTACACCTTTGACGTGGGTCCCGCCGCCATGAAGACGTTATTACGAGGTTCTTGAGGAGGTCGTCGGTCCAGAACTGCTTTGGCTCAAAGAGGAGCGAATGCTCCATGGGCTTGGCCGCCTCGGCGAGCCAAGCGATGGAGCCATTGGCCTTGATCGTCTCGTCCAAGAGAAAGGTCGCTAGCGAAAGCTTCTTCATGTGGTAGTCGCGCGCCTAACGCGCTCCACTGAGTCGACAGCTTTAGTTAGTCGACGTACGATGGTCCACTCCCACGTCTCGTCGTTGTAGCGGGACGGCGGTGGCAGCGACGGCAGGTGGCGATGGACGACACGGAGCGTCGCGGTCATTTGCGCATGCCACGTCTCGAGGCGGCGGTACACGGGTTGCGACGACTTGTGCAGCTGCCGGTTTGTTATGCATTGACGTCCGAGATGAAGCCATGCAAATTACCTTGTCGAGGAGGCCGTGCGGTACGAACGTGTACGCGCGCAAGAGGTCGGTATCCTTGTAGTTGAGCTGGCCGCCGAGGTAGATGCCGGCCTTGCGATAGCGCTTGGCGTTGGCGTTGAGCAGTTGCAACAAGCTGAACCCGCCATTTTGCTGGTGACAGTAGCTTCGTCATTCGGATTCAAGAAGGTAGAGGTACCGAGGCCGACGCCGGCACGAGGTGTGAGCCAGGAAAAATTAGCTCCGGGTACTGTGTGTGCTTGGTGCCAAACCACGCATACGTCATCATCGAGAGGTTGATGATCGTGAGGTCCGGTCTAAATCGAGTTTCTGTCTCTGGATACAGGAAATCGTTGCACTGTACCGGTAGCCTTCGCAGCGTGTAAGGTACCGCATCGACGTCCACTGCAAGTCGTAGTTGATCAGTACGAGTGCATTCTTTGGGAGCGGGGCCAGAAGCGCCTTGGCGTACTGCGCAATGTACCTAGACGGTCCATCAATATATCAACTTGACGTTTTGGATCGTGTCGTACGAAGCGCTGCTTTGGTCGCAGAGGTCGTGCCAGCGAAGGTATTGCCCGACCCCCGCGCCCACGGCGCACGTTGCACCAATCGCAAGCCGCCACGTCGGCCGCGTCGGCAGGGCCTGCAAGAGAGTGCCGAGTCCGACGCCCGCATACGTGAACGCCAGGACGTTGGGCTGCTGCCAAAAGCGCATGTGCACGCCGTAGAGAAGTCCTTCGGTGAGCGGGAGATTCGCGAGCGCGTGGAAACCAAGTATGTACACGAGGTACATGGCGAGCACGACCGGCCCAGCCGCGTGGCGGAGCGACGCGACGCAGCCAACGACGGCCAACGGCGCCACGACATAGCTGCCCTGTGTGCATGTCGCATGTGCAAACTAAGAACGTAGAGCAGCAACGGTGTACCTCGCGCTGGACGAGGTCGGCAAAGTAGAGCACGAGGCGTTCGTAGAGTCCTTCGGTCTCCTTCTCGGTCGAGAAAAGGCGGAACGTGCCATAGTCTACGACCATGGATGTCGACCATGTTGGCCTATTCATGCACATGTACCGCCCCGCCGAAGGTGGTGGACAAAGCCGCTGAAGGAAGTGACGTCGCCCCACGACCCGGGCTGCGGCTGCAGAAAGGACGTCAACGGCAAGTACACATACCTACACCCAGAATCGAGCGGGTGACGAGAGAGTGTCATTGGGGCGTACGGGGCGAGGCCGACGAGAAAGCAAAGACAAAGGAGCCCGAGTCGTCGCAGGCTCAGCGTCGCGCGCAGTGTCCACAGAACCCACGGAATCAGCGGCAGCTCAAAGAGCACGATCGTGTGCTGGTTGGTGAGCGCGAGGCCGCAGAGAATGGCGCCAACGTAGGCGAGTGGCCACGGCGATGACACTGTTGCAAAGCGAAGGAGGACGTAGAGAAGCGCGCCAGCGAACGCATTGTTGAGCGAAAAAACCTCGGCGCCAACTGCGTACGTCCAGACAAGCGGGCTGAGCGCAAAGCCGATCTACAAATTTGCACCCAGTGCGCAGATGGAATCGTAGGTCATCACGAGAGGCTTGGTACCGCCGCAGTTGCACCCGCGCAGCGCACCATCCATACATCGTAGTACCGCGGAAGCCAAAGCAGCGTCGACCAGTAGATGTATATCGCACACAGGCCGTCGCACGCTATGGGTGGGTCAGTTGGGTTGAAGAAGCATGCCTCAACAAGTACCCGCGGAGAAGGCGTTGGCACGCCAGGCCTTGGACGGGCCACCAGGCAGCAACTGCATCACGACATGGTTCAACATGCTGTAGAGCGGGTACCCAGGGGGATGGGCCACGCCCAAGTGGCACGCTTCGGCCAGCAGCTCCCCGCTATCACCGCCCGCGACGCTCGGATACAAGGTCGCGCCATACACGCCCAGCGTCGTCGCCAGAAGCACGGCGAGAACGGGATCCGCCCATGTGATCGGGCCCTTGCACGTCGCCTCCTCCAACGAGTAGGCCATGGCCGCGGGCGCGCTGCGCTTGCTGCTCTTGCGCCGCTGCATGGCAGTTAAAATGACCTTTGAACGTCGTAAATCTTTCTGTCGATTTGTTTCATTGGCTCATTTTCAGCGAATCACAGGCCGGTATCTTGCGCGAAGATCGCTACACCAAAGTCTTGCTCAGCCACGTGACGTCCTAGAGAGCGGTTGAGCTTCCTGCGTGCGTGCGCGTTCGATACCAGGCGACTGTTGTCGTCGGCGGCGCTGCGCCGCTGGAGGAGGCTGGACAGATTATGCTGTTGCACTTGGTCGAGCCTGGCGACCGCGCGATGGCGACCGTCGAACGGTGCGCAGGTTCGGTACCCGACACGTTCAAAGAATGCCTCTGCATTACGTCACGGTGGACACACAATAGTAGGGCACCTTACCTTGATCGGCGGTCCAGACGTATGTGGTCACGGGGCCGTTGGTTCGGTTGCTAGCGCGAATACGCGCGTCGACGGCCGCCATGAGTGTCTCGCCCACATGCTGGCGGCGGTGCGCGCGATGCACAACCACCGACACCACGAGACACACGTGTGGTTGCGGCCACTTCAACTGGGCGTGTGCCACCACGCCATGGTCCAAACCAGTATCACAAGTCGACGTGAGAAGCAGCACGCGCTCTTCGTTGGGCGATGGCGAGAGGCTGCGACGGCGCGTCTCGGCATGTATCGGCCATTGGTCCTGCAAGAGCTCAAAGACGGCTTCCGTCAAGTCTTGGCGTTCGGACAAAACGACGCTGTCGACCGCCACCGATCTCATCCTGTGAATCCAAAATGAATGCGATTTGATGCCGTAGAGAGCAGCTGCTAGCCAGTCCACGTCCCCTTGTCCGACGCATTTGCTGACCACACATTCGAGGTATCAGAATAGCAGCAGAAAGGGACGGTGCGTACACGGGTTACGTCGACCAGATTCAGCGACCGCCACTATTGGAACCGACAGCCTTGGCGTCCTGGCATCGTGGCGCCTCTGGGCGACGGCAACGCGCTTCAAAGTGGCGCGCCGGCGATGCAGCCGCGTGGCGACGCGATGTGAGTAACAGCGCTGCGCATTGGGTGCTTTTCAGCGCCCTCTTAAATAAGTATTTTACTACTGTGGGCCGGTGGCTGTACTCGACGCCGTTCTTCTACGCCTTCAACGAACGGCCCCGCACTTGCTCTTTGTATGCAATGCTGCGGCTACTGTTCACAGTGGGAGCCCAAATATTGCGCACGTCCAGCAACTTCAAGCTCGGGCGACTACACTGTGAAAAATAGATTATCGAGGTGGGAAATCGGCGCAGCAGGAGCAGGCCGGGGGGTATCCAGCGCTGCATGCGAGTAGTACCGAGCACGAGGTGCATGGTGCTGTCGTCGCCGTTGCTCGAATGGAGACACCCATCGAGAAGCATACGGGCGTGAGTGTGTTGTGCGTCGATGGCGGCGCGGACGTGTGATGTGGTGATGAATCCAGCTGGCATTTGCCACCTGGCGACAGGCGGATCTCGGGAAGAGCAGGATGCAATGGTCATGAACGGCAAAGTGCACTTGGCGATTTGACGCGGAGCCGACGCCAACAATTCACGCTTCTTCGCCTCACTCGGACTCGTCGCATCTCATGGTGGGGAGCGACTTTATGATGGCCGGCGGCCTTCCGCTTGGGTCACCGTTTCCGCTGCGGTCGAGCTACTTTGAGAGCAGCTCCAGCAAAGGTCGGCTCTCGGCCAGCCAAACCGCCATGTACGAAGCCGAAGCGTCGCGCCACCTGGACGTCGCGCTCGCCAATCTGTACGTCGAGCGCGAAAGCACCGAGTCGCGCCACCGGTCGCACAGCCACCCACACCTGCCGCGGCCGTTCCGGCACGAGGTCGACGCGCAGGGCTACTCGGTCTACGAGCGCGAGGACTCGGTGGTGCGCATGAAGAAGAAGACGACCAAAGGCGGGTCCAGCGAGATCAAGTTTACGTGCCGCACCGACATTGAGGGCGGTCCGCTCGAGATGATGGAGCTCATGTACGCCGACGACACGGACTCGCTCCGGCGCTGGGGCCAGATCTACTTCCCAAGCATGTTTGTCGACGGCGTCATGCTGCACGTGCTCAAGCACAGCGACGAAGAAGACCCGTTGCGCTTCTGCCGCTTCTCGAGCCTCTGCTGGATGGCGTGGAACACGCCGGTGCGCTCCGCGAGCCGCCGCGACACGTGCGTGCTAAAGACCACGGGGGCGACCATGGACAGCGATGGCAACCAGCTCTTCTACATCCTCTGCAACTCGGTCGACGTGCCCAACTGCCCGCTCCTCGAGAAGCCGTTCGACCTCGTCCGCGCCCACATCCAAGTCGCTGTCTTCTTCCAGACGTCGCCGACCAACGGCACGCGCATGACCACGATCGGCGTCATTGATCCGCAAGGCAGCCTCAGCTTCCCGTCGCGGGCCGTCGAAGCCTTCTCGACCAACCTCCTCAACTCTATGCACCAGCTCTCGATCCACCTCGAGTCCTATCGCATCTCGCGCCGGCCGCTCTGCGATCGTGTGCAGTGGGTTCCGGACAGGTAAATCTATTTCTTATTCTGGGGTTCACTTCTGATTAAAGTTTGTAGTGAGCGCAAGGAGTGCTATGCATGCCACCACTCGTTCGGGCTCTTTCGCGCCCGCCACCACTGCCGGGCGTGCGGCGAGGTATGTTCATTCTTCGCCCAGGTATCGAAATTCTCATGTGGCAAGGGGTAGGTTATGTGCAAAAAATGCATGGTGCTGCGGCCCATCTACGGCACGGAGCTGCTCGAGATCACCCACCACCACGCAGTCATTGAAAAGTTCTGCAAGCCGTGCGTGCTGTATGCGCGGTCGTCGACGGCGTCGTCGTCGCAGTGCTCGTCGTCGGCCAAGCGCGCCCCCAACGGCACCAACCGTACGTCCTATCATTTTTCTGGCGATTTTCCGACACTTTTCCTGACATTTGTATCCAACTTAGTCAGCGACTGCTCGACGTACCGGGATTCGAACAACCGGCTCTCGTTCTTCTCGCTCGAGACCGACCCGTCGACCAACTCGGGCGAGTCGCGCTCGAGCACCAACCGCCGGAAAAACTTGACGTCGCCGAGCGAAGACGAAGAGTTTCCTGCTGTCAACGATGCGTCGTCACCGACGCCCTTCACGGACGCCAACGGCCACAAGACCGCGTACGACCACGGCGCCAAGATGGACTCCAACACGATGGCCCATGAGCTCTGGAAGATGTCGGTCAAGGCGCGCCGCGTTGCCAAAGAGACGGCGACGCTCACGAAAGCGACCATGTCGGCGGCCAACTCGCGGAATGCGACGCCGGTCGGAACGCCCCGCGCAGAGATCCGCGACAGCTTTCGCAAGATGGACCAGACGCTGGCCGAGCAGGCGTTTTTGTTGGACGCCATCGATCGGGCAGCGCGGTCGCGCTACAGCCTCTCGTCGCCTCGGCACACGGACGACGCGCCGCTGCGCGAGAGCCCGTTTGTGGAAGAAGTCGTCTGAGCACTTCTCCTCTTATCTAACTAGACTAGACACACGCCACACAAGTTTATTGTAAAAAATGAAACCCAAATGCAATACTATAACATATACCCTGTATCACTCAACACTCAGACGAAACGAGCTCGACATGAGGGACCATATTGCTACATTGCAAAGTAGAGTAGACCGGGTGTGCTGAATAAGACCTACTAACGAGGAGCCCAGTAGCCCAGTGACAGCCGCACCAGTGAAAGGTTCCTGCGTCCAAATAGATTGCAGAGAGCCCTTGTCCAATCAACGGTCTTCGCTTCACGTGCAACGACGTGCCAGTATCTCCTGCCCATAACCAAGAGTCATTTCTTATTGCCCCTTACCGGAACACTCCAAGTTTTGGCGAGTGAATGACGAACGACATGACAAAGGCCGACGACTGCAGATTCAACACACACCGTCGCAGACACCCGTCAAGCTGCTTAGCACGAGTAGGCTACACGGTGCGCAAGAAGGCACTCCACTCGTCGACCGCCGCCTTGTCGTGGTACAAAGCCCGATGGGCGTCCCGAATCTCTTGGCGGACGCTCGCTTGAAGCGCCTTGTCGCATGCGAGCGCGACCGCTGTCGCCACAAACGCCGCTTCATCCTGCACGATACACGTCGAGAGGTTGAGGCGGCGACAAAAGCCCGCCGCGAGCGTCACCACTGTCTGTTTGGCCGGCAACGTCACGACCGGTCTAGATCATTGCTACTCGAATTGGCAACTTGGTCGATGGTACGTACAGTCCCACGACGAGGGCGTCGAGGGTCGTGACGCCGCCGCCAAACGGGAACGGGTCGAGAAGCACATCCGAGGTCGCGAGGAGGGAGAGAAATTTGTCGTACGGTTGCGTCTCGAGAAAGAGGATGCGGTCGTGGACGGCTGGCGCGAATTGAGCAAGTCGGTCCCGGACCCGGTGCTTCCACACGATTTGGCGCGGCGAGTAGAGAAGGACGACGAGCCCGTTGGGGTCGCTTGTGAGAATGTCTCTGAAAATGACGTCCAGCGCGGGGTGAAGCTTCATGAGCGTCTACGTCATACGAGATGACCACCCCAATTGTAGCCCGAGACTCGTACTTGGGGACATAGGTACACGTGACTGGAAGGCGGCAAGTGAAAGTGATCGCGGGCTGTCACATGCAACGCGACTGGCTCTGGCTAGACCATCCTTTAGGTTAAGAGCCTCGTTGTGAGACCAATGGCAACCTGGTAAAAGTACGTCGAGAGACTCGAGAACCGAACACGCTGCTCCGTGTAGTAGGCTGCATCTGCTTGTTCGTCGTCGTCGTCGTCCCAGTAGAGATCTGGCAACAGAGCCAACACTCGATCAGATCGAAATCTTATAGGGCAACCCACCCGAGCCAAGAAAGTAGTCGATGCTGTCGACTAAACCCGTCGTGATCGGGTGGCCCCAAAAGACGCACTGGACGCGGCCAAACCGGTGGTGGGCAAGGAAGCTCGTCCACGCGTCCATACCAAGTTCTGGAAACACGACCACGTCGATCGCGTCGGCGCGCAAGAGGGCAAGCGCCTCCACAGCGTCGTGTGGCAGCACCACGAAACGATCCACGGCGTCCATGATCGCCGCCGTGATGGTGTCCGTGGTCGAGATCGGGAAAAAGTGCGACGACGTATACACCGCCACCTCGAGCGTTGCCCTAACCACCGTTGGCGTCCATACTCGTAGTTTAGTCATCGATAACCGATCCAGGTGCTCTAAAATGCCTCGGAGAAGCTTCCCCACCGAGTGGGACCGAAACCATGACGAGACAAACGCCACGCGTCTCTTGGTGGCAACGTGCAATGACGCCACCTCCGTCGCAGAGGAGAGCGCTGCCGGGTACAGTCGCTCGTACATGGCAACGATGCGGGCCTGCACATCGGCAGTCGGCAAGCCCTGCAAGAAATGTCCTAGCAGTACTCGCCAGAGAGCTTGACGAACCTGGTAACCAAGCAGCATGGTTGGCGGTGTGATCGTCCATGCGAGGTACCCCGCGTCGTCTGGTCGCAGTGCGCTCTGTACGTCTGGTGCTAGGTCGTCGTTTGTGAGTGCGTCAACGCGGGTCGACAGCGCCTTCATGTATGCCTCCATGGCGGGGAGAGAGTCAAAGACCGATGGAATCGCCAGCGCCAGCCGCACCTAGCCCACATGAGCACGCGAAGAAACACAGCGAGCGTACGTGAAGGCCAGAGGCTTTGCCACAGAGCGCAAGGCCGCGTTGGAAATGTGCCAGCGACGCTTCGAACGCCCCCAGCTCGTCGAGGAAGACCCCCATTTGCGTACATGTCTCATAGTAGTAGCGCACGATCGGTGACGCAAACTGCAATGTGACGCGCCCATTCTCCACTTGATGGCGACACAAAAGCGACGCATTTTGGCCACGCAGTACCTCGAGCAACGCATCGACGTCTCTTTTCGAAAAGAGACTGCGAAAGCTGTCGACGGCCACGGCAAACAGCGTCGGAAATGCGTGCGATGCGACGGTCTCGCAGGCGTCATAGAGCGCCTTGGCCTCGACGATTTCAGCCCGCAGAAAGGCCGTGAGGCCTGCGCCGCAGACTGCGCGGGTGTGCTGCGTCGGCGACAAGTCGAGCCCCAGTGCGTGCGTATAGTACATTGCTGCGTCGTCGAGGCGGCCCCAGAGCTGCAACTGTTCGGCGGCAACCAGCCAATGGTTGGCGCTGGGTGCGACCGCGGCGACGGCGACAGCGCTGTGCACAGCAGCAAACTGAAGAGCGTCCCACGCACGATGCGCATCGCTGGCGAAGCGCGTCATCGCATCAATATAGAACGCCGCGTGGACCGCCGAGTCGACCGAATTGTCGGCGTCCAGCAGCCGAGCACATGCCGTGAACGTCGTGGCAGCGGCGCGCGGCACATTTGTCGACAAGAGCGCTTCAAGCCGCGACGAGCACTGCTGCAACCAATGCGTTGACGTGCGGAACGAGGCTGGAAGATGCGCGTTGGTCGCCATGGCCGTGCGCAACGCTACGCTGTCGGAGCGGCCAAGCACGACCGCGAGGACACTCTGGTTTGCAATCTCGGTCGAGGCCATCGGAAACACTTCATCGTTGTGGTTCATGACGGCCATGCACGTGCTGCCGGCAGCGGCGACGTGGCGTAGCTACGCAGTGATGTTGGGTTTGGACCATAGCCTCGGTGAAGCCGACCTTGTCTGTGAACGCACATTCGCCGCGAGCGACCAGCACGAGCGTCGACGGTGGCACGGCCATGGTCAGAGGTGCGCATGCGTGGAGGGGGTCAGCGACCACGATGGCATCGAGGATGACGGCTGGCGACGCTAGAAAGCCTCCAAAGTGCGCGAGCTCGCACGTGGCCGATGTCTGGCCATACTGGAGCGTGCAGCCTACATGGCCGTGAAGATCGCTGGCATATCTCTGCGCCACGTACGCGCCTCTTGCCTTGCAGCAACGCCTACCGCGAGCCAGGTTCCGAGAAGGCCGACGACGGTCGCTACACGCATCGCAAGCGTATCCTTTTGCGATCCTTCACACCATTTCGAGAGGTCCTGAAATCCTGAAATAGTCTGCATTTTGGTTGACAGGCCCATTGTATGCTATACAAATGAACAATGCTTTGTATCCGGATGCCAGCCGGATGGTGCGTGGACCAACAGGAAGATGGCGCCGGGTGCGCCGATGCCCTTCGAGGCCTTTGGCGCTTGCCGCGACGTCGACGAGTTCGAGAAGCTCAACCGCATCGGCGAGGGCACGTACGGAACGGTCTACCGGGCGCGCGATAAGGCGACCGGCGAAATCGTGGCGCTCAAGCGCGTGATCCTGCACAACGAGAAGCAAGATGGCGTACGTCGCCTCGTCGCTGGTCCTCGCCTCACATGCAGCATCCGCTCTCCTCTAGTTTCCCATCACGGCCATCCGCGAGATCAAGCTGCTCAAGCGGCTGCGCCAAGAGAACTGCGTGCAGCTCAAAGACGTCGTTGTGGGTCGCAAGCGGTCGGGGTACGCGCTGCGGTCCGACGACGCCATGACCGCATGCCTACTATTAGCGTCTTTCTCGTCTTCGAGTACTGCGAGCACGACCTCTCGGCGCTGCTGACCAACGTTCGCCACCCGTTCACCGAGTCGGAGGTCGTTGCTTGTCATTTGCACAACGGTGCCATAGTTGCGTAGGCCAAGCGCGTCTTGATCGAGCTGCTTCGCGCCGTCGAGTACCTTCACAGCCTCAACATCATCCACCGGTGCGGCATTGTATCTCTAAGCCTTATGTCGTGGCTCACGGTGTTGCTGCATAGCGACCTCAAGCTCTCCAACATCCTGTACGATGGGTTTGGCCGCGTCAAGCTCGCCGACTTTGGCTTGGCGCGCGAAACGGGGTACCCGATGGAGATGAACCTGACGCCCAAGGTCGTGACGCTCTGGTACCGGTCGCCCGAGCTCCTCTTTGGCTGCGAGACGTACACGGCTGCGATCGACATGTGGTAATGCCTCGTACTTGGCTCCGAAAGCCTCCTTACATGCATCAGGGCGATTGGCTGCATCTTTGGCGAACTCATCTTGAACGAACCGCTCATGAACGGGTCCACCGACTTGGACCAGGTCCAAAAGATCTACCAGGTACCCCCTTAATGTGAGGGTGTTTGGCATCACCGATGCACCTAGCTTTTGGGCCGGCCCAACGAGCGCATTTGGCCTGGCCTCTCTGCGCTGCCGCATGCTTCGAAGTTTGACATCGACGGCGCGTCATCCTACAGCTCACTCGAACGCGTCTTTGACAAAAGGCTCTCGCGCAGCGTACAAGTCGTTCCTCCGACGCACGTGCTGAGGCGTGTGTAGGGCATGGACCTCATGGCGCAGCTCTTGACGTACGACCCAAAGAAGCGGCTCACGGTACTCTGCCTCTCGACAACGCTGTCAATCTCAGGCTTGCTTTCAGGCGACGGCGGCGCTCGCCCATCCGTACTTTAACGAAAGGCCGTTCCCGAAGGAGCCCGGCATGATGCCCACGTTTCCGTCCCAGCACCCCGAGATGCCGCGCAGCGCGGCGACGACCCGCGGCGACGATCGCTTTGGCCACGCCTTTGGTCGCAGCAGCAGTAGTACCAGTGCGAAGAAGCGCAAGGTCGGCTAAGTCATCATCATCGTCTTTTGTTCGAGGACCAATTCCTTCTCGGCTCCACGTGATCGGCTTGATTGGCCCGCGGTATTTGTTGAAGGCGACGGCGGCGTCGTCGTCGGTGGTGGGCATTCTCATGTCATCCAAGCATCGCGCTACAGCCAAGTGCCAGTAGTAGGACGTTGCATCCTACTCGTGTCTGCAGCGATTCGCCGACAGACTACAACACGACGTCGTCTCCTTGTCTACGTCCACGAGGCGTCGCCAAAAACATGCTGCGCAGCTGCCTTGGTCTGCAGCAACGGCGACCCAAGATGTGTGACGCCGCGTCGTCGGCGCAGACATGTCGCCTGAAATCGCGATCGTGAGTTGGTGGTCTTGGCACCAAGCGGGATGCATCGCGGACGATCCTCATCCAAGCTGTGGACACGTGTTCTAGGATCGCCGTGCGGACCACAGCCAAGTTGTGCTTCCCGTGTCTTGATAGAAAGGTCGACCATCTGCTTCTGTCGATTGTGCCGTCGGACCCAGGTTCAAATCGCGGTTCGAAACTTCCGCACTGTATCTGTGACGCAGCTTGCTGATGGCTCGGCAGTCGCCAGCATTCGACGATAAGAGTCAGGATGGCACAACAGCAAGCGCAACAAGGCGTCGGACAGTGGACCCGGGACGAACACCGGAGGTACCTCCGTGCGATCCAGCTCTACCCACAGGGACCTTGGAAGTCGGTCGCCGACTACATTGGCACGCGCACGGCGCGTCAGACACAGACGCATGCGCAAAAGCACCGCGAGAAGCTCTCGCGTCGACGACGAGGCCTGCTTCGGAAACGAGCGACCTCCGACGAGTGGCTCGACGAGTACGGGTCGTCGCCGTCGCCGCAGCTCGACCCAAGTCAGAGCCACACCGTGCCGAACACGGCCGAACCCGAGTATCGCGTGGCCATGATTCCGCCCATTGCTGTCGCATCGACGCACGCCGAGCTGCCACCGCCTGCCGTCTATCGACCGCACTTTGACGGCGCGCTTGCGTCGGACGACACGCTCACACTGCCGCCGTACCCCCGATCCATGGCCGAGGACAAGTACCAGCCGTTCGCGTACACACCGTACACCCAGCAGCAGCACGATGCGTACCCAGCAGCGTACACCTCGAGTAGCTACCATGATCCTCGTTTTCAAAGCAGTGCTTCCTCCTACGCGCCGATGGCGTACCCGCCCGCGCCCCACCTGCAGCACATGGAGCATCATCCGCCCGTGCCCATCGACGAGATGCTCCTCGAATACTTTGGCGACGATATCCGCCGGTACGGCGCAGCGCCGTCTTTGCACCGTCACTCGTAGCGAGAAGATAAAACCAAGCTTAGAATCTTTGACAGAGTCCAACGTTCCGGTCGTGACAGACAATAAGGGCCGAATATTTGACGCGGATGTGGACGTTGGCCTTGGCCACACATATAGCGTTCAAGTACTCGAGGAGCTCGTTCGAATGGATACAGCATACGTGTTGAAGGGGCGCCCTTGCAAGACGCCAAAGTGCAAACTCAACGCTTGCGATCTTCGCCTGTCTGCATCGAACTTCGACGAAGTTCCGAGACAAAGAATCACAATCCTGCATGATCACTCGGTGATAGCTACCTAGCGTAGTCCATACAAATACCAAGTGTTTTTCGAAGGTGATACCTGCGAACTTCGAAACGTGCATGATATAGTGTACATTTGTGAAATAGAGTTTTACCTTGCGCTTGCAGTCGAAAGACGCTGGCCGCCATGTGCACTCTGTCGCGATGCCGATTGCATGCCTTGCTCGCAGCCTATGTAGCCGACGACGCGCATTAATACATGGTCTATCGGCACTTTCGTGCACCGGGCGAATTTTGTATATAGTGTACGCGCGAAAATAGTCTGCGTACGGGACGGATGAAGTGGTGCGATATGATTGGCTACTTGAAGCATTACCCGAACGCTAACCGGACAGCGCAACAACTTTCTGCTGCCAGACCCGAGACGACGATGGACCGGACGACCGAGTTCGTGCGCATCACGCAGCTCTTTACGGACGCGCCGATCCTGCTGGCCAAGCACCGACCGCTCTCGGCGTACGCCCGCGTGGCGCAGCGCATCTCGGATGCGCTCCTCGAGAAGGAGATGCTGCTTCGCGGCCTCGCGACGCTGGCGCTCAAGAAGCACATGACGGCCGAAGACGACCCGACCAAGGAGATCTCGAGCATTTGCGACATCACCAAGCAGTCGCTGCCCATCATTGCAAAGGAGATCAGCGAGTTCCAGCAAGCGGTACAAGGCGACGTACGCTGCCTTCACTTCCTCCGGATCATGGACTCATGCCAGCTCTATTGTCGCGTGTAGAACCAGCAGCAGCGCCACTTTAGCGTCATTTGCGCGTCGCTAAACACACGCATGGCCAAGTGCGTCAAGGAACTTCAAGATGGGATGCAAACCCGCGCGAACGTCATCAAGGAGATCAACGACCGGCGAAAGCGCTTCTCGCACGCAGGGCCGCACGTGCAGATCAACACGCCACTGACGCTGCGCGCCAAGCCGCCATCGCCGCCAACGGTACAAGCTCCACCGCGCATGGGCGCTGCATTGCCCTACGCAAGCACCAGTCGTCCTGCCAACAGCTACCACAACACGACCAACTACCAGAATACCAGCTACAACCAGAATTCGAGCAACGTTAACAGTGCAGCCGTCGCGGCACCGACCGAGCTACCGGCTGCGCAGAGTACAAGGACAAGTGAATTTCACGTCAAACTGACACGACATGTAGGCGTGCCGCTGCTGCGACGTCGGCCGAACATGAACCAGAACAGCACGGCGAACGCTTACGTGCAGCAGCAACAGCAGCAAGCGTCCATGCAGCGCTACACGGCCCAAGCGCGACTGAACGACGCCAAGCACATCGAGTCCACGATCGTCGAGGTTTGTGATTTCCGTGCGATCGTATACTGTTGTCGTGACAAGGCGGCCATAGATTAGCAGCATGTACAACCGCATGTCGTCGTTGATTGCAAGCCAGGTAGAGACCGAAACGCATGGTGCATGGTGCTGATGATGCGGGGATGAGTAGGGCGAAGTCCTCGAGCGCATTGATGACGACATGACGACGGCGTACGTTGAGAAAGCCATGTATGGGGCGAGGTGGTCATGATGCGTAGACAAATGAACGTCGAGGCCGGGCACAACGAACTCCTCAAGTACTTTACGTCCATGTCGGGCAACCGGTCGCTCATTCTCAAGATCTTCCTCATCCTCGTTGTCTTTATCTACCTCTTCCTCGTCGTTTTTTAACAGCCCAATATGATCTTATCGCGTCTGAAATCTGCAATTCTGCAATGTTGCAATTTTGCAATTTTGCCATTTTGCCATTTTGCCATTTTGCCATTTTGCCATTTTGCAATTTTGCAATTCTGCAATTACAGGTACGCGTGTGCACTTCACGTTGACGCAATCGTAGGTATGAAGGTGGATTAGGGTTGGTGTTGCTAGTCACTTCCCTTCAACCTAGTGGAGCCGTGCGGAGTACTATAGTATATATGTTGTATGTAGTCGTCTTATGTGTCAAAATTCAACGTGGTCCTATTTTTTGTTGACGGGAATGCACGGCCAGGGCTTGAGGTCGGGCAGTTTGTCCATCGCGGCCATGCCTTGAAGGAAGACCGTGTTGGACGTGAGCCAGTCGAGCTCGAGGAGCCCTTCGCTGTACGTGCCGGGCGCCGGGTTGAACTGGTACGCCGACTCGGGGTTCAAACTCCAGCTAAAGCCACCTGCGTACTGCTCCTTGAGCATGACCTCGATCAAAAAGTCGGTCGTGCGCCGAATCGTGAGCTTGGGGCTTTCGTCGCCCTTGTACAAGCCGGCAAACTCGCCGAGGACGACCGCGTCTTTCTTGGCGGTCGCAAGGAACCCAAACATGTCTTCGCTCGTCACCTGCACGCGCATGCGGAGCGTCTCGTCGTCGAGCTCGGCGCCCTTGGGGCCGTAGAGGTAGTCTTGCGGCGACACGGCCGTGTTGTAGTAGTGCGGCGCGTACACGAGTTTGTTGGGCCGGTTGAACGCCGCCGGGGCTTCTTTTGCGCCCTGGAGACCGCCGCCCCACCAGTCAAAGTAGCTGAACGCCGTGCCGTCGATCGTGAGCTTGTGCGCGCCGTTGACGCCTTCGACAAAGCCCATCCAGTTGGGGCACCCGGCTACAGCACGCTGTCCAACAAATGTATCAATCTATCAACAACGTACTGTGCATGCGGTCGGCAATGATGGTCGAGCCCGCCGAGAACTCGGCCCACGTCGCCTTGTGCGGCTCGTTCTTGAGGTCGAGGCCCATGATGTTCCAGTACGTGGCCGAGCAGAGGTTCTTGGTGAGAATGTCGACGGCGTCGAGGAAGTCATCCTTGGAGATGCCGAGCTTGGCGTCGTACCAGTTGCCGCCCGAGTCGGTCGTTGTGAGCGTATGTAGCGAGATGAGGACGCCAATGTTGCGGTACGCCAGCGCTTTGATGACCGATTGCAACGTCGTAATGTAGTTGGTCAAATCCATCGCGCGGTTCATCGCTACGTTGACGAGGCCTTTCCGCGGCGGCGTGTTCTTGAGGATGCTCGTGATGCACACGGGCACGCGGACCGCGTTAAACTTGTTGCGCGACAGAAAGTCGGCGACTTCGTATGCGGTCGTCCCGTTCTGATCGTTGGTCCAGAGCCCAAACGGCACGGCGTTGCCCGTCTCCATGCCAAACCAGTTGGTGCCCTTGATCGAGATCGGCGACTCTTGGCCATCCGGTGTCACATACCAGATTTTCCCGTTCTTGCTTTGGTAGTCGAGCTGCGCGCAGGCTGCACATAGGCATGTTGTTAGCCGCCGTGGAAGGGTTTCGACGATGACGTACACTGCGTCGCGTACGTCACGGGGTTGTTGAGCTGACCGTCGGGACCCACGTCGACGAGGCCGTTCGCGCCGTCGATGCTGCGCTTGGCGAGCGCGCCCGACTGGTAGTCGATGGCGCGCTGCTTGGCGTCCGTGCGCGCGACGCTCGCCTGTGTTGCAATGAGCGCGATCGCGCCGGCCACGATGACAACAAGCAAGAGTGTTCCGGGCCAAATCTACATGCGAGATCTCAGTGTCGTCGTCGATGGACGCATACGTGGCAGCACGACGTACGCGAATGCGGCCTTTGTAGCTGCTCGACTTCTCGGGCTGCGTGAGCGGGAGGACCGGGATGACCAGTTCTTGACGCATGGACCGCGTCGACTCGCTCGCCGCCGAGTGCTGATGGTTGAAGCTGTAGCGCTGCGAGTCCATGGTGGTGTCGCGCGTCGACGGCCGGACGATCTCCATCTCGCTCTCGCGGGTCGGCAGGCCACCGCGGCTCGACGACGGCGCGCGGAACACTTCTGTCATCGGACGATGCGAAAATGCCAGCTTGATTCCAGCGTTCGATTGGCAATTTGTTCGACGCACGAGGCTGCAAAGTCCGAATTTCGTGCCAAAGTAGGATTCTACTTGTTATTTTCGGCTTTGGAGCCGAAAGAAACCTCACCCAAGGCAGTGTGTTACAAAAGCAGCTGGGCTGGCGCCAGACCGCGTCGCCTTTCCGCCACCAGCGAGCGACGAGACGCGCGCCTTGGATGATAGGCCACTTTGCGTTTTACTCGGGCGTCAGCGGACTTTAACCTACTTGGATCGGGTATCTCGATGCTTTAACGCGCTCGGTCCCGCTCGTGCTTGTATAGGTCCGTCGCGCAGAGGGCGGGACACAAATTTTCACGGCAAGCTGATCACCCATGTAACGCGACGCTGCGGCAAAGAGTCAAGTTATAACATATTTTACATGTCACATAAATCAGTTATAACGTTTAGAGGCTGGTCAAATATCCGGACAAGATACCGAAACCGCAGCGCCGTTTGCGAGCCTTCGAACTACGACGCATGCGGCGTGTGATTGGGTACCTCCAAAACTTCGAAGACAAAAGATCCAGCCCCAGGTTTGAACCGAAAAAGGCGGTCTTGGGGTTCAAGCGACGATGAACGTGCTGAGCTCCGTGAAGGGCTACATGGCCAACGTCTTTGACATGGGCGGCCAGCAGACCGGCGCCGTCGACGTCGTCGCGATCCAGCACGAGGCGTCGGTGCGCACGACGCCGTTCCATGCGCGCTTTGGGCGGCTCGACGTCGTACGCACGTGTGTCGCCTGGTCGTGGCCTGATCCCGCTGCGTAGCCAAGCACGGACGACCGCCGCGTGACGCTGCTCGTGAATGGCGTCGCCATCGACAACGTCTTGCTCGAGGTGCGTCTCGCCTGCATCGAGTTGTGGCTCAGCTGCGCTAGCTTGACGGCCGCGGCGAGGTCTACTTTGTGGATGATGAGCCAAGCCCAAGCCGAGACAGCTTGACCCTGGAGCTCGAGCTCGAGAACCTCTCGATCGACGAGACAAGCCCGTCCTTCATCACGTCGCTACCTCCGTTTAGCCCGCTCGTACGCATCGACAGCCTACCTTGTTGATGCATCAGCTTTGTAGCAAGGACCGATGGATGGCGATGGCCCGATGCCAACGACGATGCTCGACTCGCCCGACCATCGGCTCTACTTTGACGCACTCGACGACAAGCGCAGCGCACCCAACTCGGTCGAGAAAGGCTCATCGTTTGGCCCGAATCAGCGCAACCCGAGCGTGTACTTTGACGCGATGGAGCGCCACTCGCTTCTCGATGCAGACCTGGACGATTACATGGCCGAGCCCAATGACGCAAGTGGTAGCCCTCTCGGTCGGCCAATGGAAACGCATATCCTGTGTCTCATGCTCGGTCGTAGGGGACGACGCACCGCAGCTGTCGCTCTGTGGCCACTTGCTGCAGCCGTCGCTCGGTGCCGACAAGGTTGCCGCCCTTGTCGCCGCGCACGCAGTGTCGGCTGCTGATTTTCGGGCGAATCCGCTTGGCATCCTCCAGCACCCGCACTTGATGGTGTCGGTGCACGGCCTCGTCCACCCCTACGACGTCTTTATGCAGGCGTATTTCGTTTCCAAGGTCTGCTTCCCCAAGCGGACGACACCGGCAAGTGTGGCGGCGCTCTCGCCGACGCCGTCGATCACAGTCGGCACTTTGGAGGAAGGGTCTCGGCTCGTTCGCTCCGAGAGCGACCCGCTGCGCTGGTTCCAGTGGTTTGCACCGTCGGACGCGTCGACGGCCAGCAACACGTCGTCGTCAGTGACGTCGTCGACAAGCCCGAGCCGCAGCCACGCGAATGCGACCGAGCTCGCCGCCATGGGCTTTGTCTATGGCGACAACGCGATCGAGTTTGCCGTGCCCGGGGCACCCAAGCGCGCGTCCGCGGTCGTCTACTTTTGGCACGCGTCGAGCAAGCTCATCTTTGTCGACATTGACACAGCGCTGACCGCAACGACCAAGAGCAGCTTGTACCCCGGGGTCGCGTACTTTCTCGAAAGCGTCGCGGCCAACGGGTACCATGTCGTGTACACGACCGCCATACGCGGACGAATGCCGCCGGCCGCGCTGCCCCGGGGCCCGGTCTGCGCGGCACCGCTCGCGTCGCTCTTGCAGTCGCTTCGGTCGCTCTTCCCGTCCGACATGAGTCCGTTCTACGCGGCATTTGCCAATCGAGCGTCGCTGCAGCTCTTGATCCAAGCCGGCGTTCCCAGCGGCCGCGCGTTCGCCGTCGAGGACGGCTGCGTCGCGTCGGCGCGCGTCATGTCGTCGTACGAGCGCTTGGTCGAGCCCCGCGTCTTTGGAGCCATGTTCCCGCCCATTTATTCGGTGGCCGTGTGCAAGCACCAGACGCCGATCCAGCTGACGCCGAGCTTGAGCCCTAACGCCGGGTTGCTTGCGAGCCGCCGGCACACGCGCACGACCGGCGACGAAGCGTACAACGACGTCAACTTTTGGCGTGTCCCTCCGAGTACTATTTAAGCACCTCGATACATTGATACTTTTCAAATCGACGTGCGACATGTGCTTCCAAGAGGTGCTTGCTCTCGGGGAACGCGTACGCCTTGGGAAATGCACTGGTCCTGCGCGTGACGACGATGGTGGCAGTGCGACGCCAAGCCACAAAAGACGCCTTCGCCCGCAACATTACGGTAGTCTCTGCCGCCAGGTCGACGAGACGGCGAGCGAGCCAAGCAGAGAAAAAGGAGTCTCCGGATCGCTGTGTTCTAGTACTACATGTAGTTCGACGCTACGATTACCGCTTGGAGTAGAGACGTTCGGTCGAGTTGGGCACGCGGGACGCACGCGTGTACTTGAGCAGCAGCGACGCCTGCGTCATGTTCTTGGTCACGAGGCTCCTACAAACCCGATGAGAGCTCCTACAGTCGACGCTCGACTACGTACGCGAGGTACGGCTCCATTTGCGAGAGAAGCCACTTGGGCTGGAACGCAAACATCTCTCGGAAGCGCTGCTTGGGCTCGACCGAGAGCTGGTCGGCTGGAAAGTACGCGAGCTTCTCGCCGCGGCGGATCGCGAGCCCGACGAGGAGCGCGTCGTCAATGGCGACGCCCATGGGCACGCGGAAGCCCCACTGCTCCATGAACTCGGTCAGCGTCCACTCCTTCGAGCGCGCCTCCTCAAAGATCGCAATGGCTTGGAAAATGGCAATCTTGGCGCTGTCGAGACGATACGCCGAGCCGTCGACGCTGTACAGGCGCAGGCAATGGGCGAGCACGGACGGGTGCACCGTCTCGGTCAAGTGCACTTCGATGTGGCTCAGCGCATGCTCCGAGTTGAAGTCCCAGTCGCGCTCGAGAAAGATCTCGAGCACGAGGCCCACGACGTGCCGGCTGTACGACGCCTCGAGGAGGCGCCAGTAGCCGTCGATCTCGACGGCGCGGAGCTGCGTCAGCATGAGCTCTACCTCGTGCGGGCTGTGCTGAAGGCGGTCTGCGAGATCATGCAGCGTATACAGGCTGCGCTTCATGCGCTTGGCTTCGGTGGACGGTGCGCATATCGGGTTCTCGAGCAGGAGCAGCTTGAGCTGGTTCAAGTCGAGCGGCTTCTCAAGGAGCTCGTAGTGCATCATGGACTGCCCGCGTATCGAGACGACGCCGGACGCGTCGAGCTTGTCGGCCTCCCAGTTGACCGAGTCGGCGAGGAGGCGTACGTTGGACTGGTCCTCACGCACGAGGTGGTAGCTCTTCGTGGCCGTGCAGAGCACTGCGCGCTGCGACGGGTCGCCGACGACGTAGACCTCGTCGCCGGCCACGAGCGCGTCGCAGACGTCGGCCGGCAGCTCCAGCAGCTTGTAGCTGTCGTCGCTAAAGTCGGCCGCAAAGGCAATCTCGCCGGCCATGCTGATGATCGCCGCAGAAAGGTGGCTGCCATTTATCCGGCGAATTTCAGCCAATCCGCGCTTCGTGTGATTTTGGCGGGAGTCGCGCTTGAGCTTCCCGAGCTCGTACTTTCGCAGTCCCATGACGAACGTCCTGCATGAGCTCACAGCCTCATAGGCTAATGATCGCTAATCAACGTCATAAGTCCCTTGAGGTGCAGATGCGGATGTGCTTGTGCTTGAGCCCAGCCCGAAATGGTACATATGTGTCTCATGGTTGAGATCTGAGCTGGTTAGCCCGACCTGTCTACGCAGCCAAGTGTTGGATAGCTCTACCGACTCGGCGCAGCGTAAGGGCAGCTACGTCGCTGATTCTGGTGCATATACCGTGCGCAGATGACAACGAGTCCAGAACACAATGAGACACAAACCGATGCGAAGGGTCCGAGCATTATACACCGTTTACTCGTCGTCGCTGTCGTCGTCGTCGTCGTCGTCGCTGTCGTCTTCGTCTTCTCGTAACCACTCGAGGAACTCTTGCATCGCGGCGGCCTTGAGCAGCGCTTGCTCGGGATGACTCGGGGCTTCGGCGAGCACCTTGTCTTCCCACGCAAACACAGTTTCCTCATTGATCCAGTCGAGGTCGTACGCGACCTGAAGCATGAAGCGGAAGAGGCTGCTAAAGCTGCCGCTGTTGTTCGCGTGGACGCAGTAGGCTGCAAACGTGTCGACAATCTTGGTGCGTTCGACGTCGTTCATGATGCACTTGGAAACGACTCCGCTCCACTTTTCGAGCTTCACCTTGAGGAGGCCCATGATGGCCATCGGCGCCTTGTTGGCGCGCGGAATCGCGCTGCAGAGCGCCGGCAGAATCGCCTCCAAGCAGTCGGCAAAGCTGCGGTTCTGCGCAAACTTGAAACTCTTGATCTCGAGAAAGAGGTTCTCGACGTCGTCGCCGTTGGCGTCGCCCGAGAGCACCATGTCGATGACGACGCGCACGAAGCGGGCCATCGGGTCTTCCTCTTCAAACGCATTCAATGGTTCTTCGTCGTCCGACTCGCTGAGCGCGTCCCAGGACGCAAGACGTGACGTGCGCGCCGTCACGACCTCCTTGGCACCAATCAGCGTCTGCTTGAGACGGTGGAGGCGCGCGGCGTCGTTCGCCGTGTCATCGTCATGTTCCTCGTCGTCGTCGTCCGAGTCGTCGAGGTAGATCTCGTCGTCATCGAGCGTCCAGATGCGGCCAACACCGTTGACACCCACGTGCTTGGGGTTCCACGCGTCGTCACCGACCGTCTCGGCGGGCGTCACGTCATTGTCACTGTCATCATTGTCACTCGAGAAGCCATCGTCGTCGTCCGTTGCCGGTACCGTCGTGAGCTTGGTGAACGACGGCACCGTAAAGTTGGCGCCCACGACCACGTTGAACGAGATCAACGAGCCTTCGTGGACGCGGGCGCCCTTGCGGATGACCGCGCCGTTGCAGACGATGGCGCCCTCCAGCACCACGTCGTCTTCGATCGTCACGTTGTCCCAGAGAAAGCTGCCAGAGATGCGAACGTTCTGGCCAATCTTGCAGTCGCGGCCGATGGCACTCTGCACAATGTCCGTGTTGGCGCCGACCGTCGTGCGGCCGCCGACGATCGACGTCGACCGAATCGCGCACGTCCGCGCGAGCTGGACGTCGTCTTCCTTGTAAATGTCGCCGCGCTGGTGGCGGTACGTCGACGCCGACCCGAGAAAGTTGTTGTCGGGCACCATGGGGTAGGCCCAGCGCTGGAGGATGGCGTGCGAGATGGCAGCGTACGTCCGGGGATCATGGACGCGCGCGGCAAACTCCTTGGAGATGATGTGCGCGTGGATGCGGTTGCCCATCTCGTAGTTGAGCACTTCGTTGCGGATGAAGTCCTTGCGCATGTCCTGGTAGTCAAAGTTGTCGCTAAACTGCAAGAGCACCTCGGGCGAGCAAATGTCGACGTGGGCGTCCATGAGGTCGTAGCGGAAGCCAATCTGCTTGTGGTCCTGGAACATGACGGTCGGGAGGAGCGCGGACGGCGCATGCGAAGACGACTCGTACAAGACGATCTGGTTGGTCGCCGTGTCCATCGCGATGAGGAGGTCGTCCGTGAGCGGGCGAATGTCGTGGTGCACCTGGACTTCCTTCAGGACGACCGTCATGATGGACGTCGAGTCCTTCTTCTTGCGCGCTTCGTGCGACTCGATCGCGCTCTTGAGGTTCATGTTGGAGACCACGTCGCCCGAGATCAAGATGAACGGGTCCGAGCGCACGGCCTGCATCCGGTCGAGCTCGCGGATCGCGTCGCCGGCCGTCAAGCACGTCGGCGCGAGGATGCACTGCGTCTTGACCGTCTGCGCAATCACCGAGGTCGACAGGAAGGCCTCGATGGCAGCGGCGTGGGCCGTGCAGAAGATGAGGACCTCTTCGACGCCGTTCGAGGCGAGGAACTCGAGCGTGTACTCGAGCATGGGCACGTTGGCCAGCGGCAGGAGCACCTTGGGCGTCTCGAGCGAGATGGGCCGGAAGGTCTTGGTCCACGAGTCGGCGAAGATGACCGCCTGGAGCGGGTGCTTGTGCTTCTCGTCCTTCTCGTCGCCCTTCGACTTCTTGGGCGCCATGTTGCTGCTGCTGCTGGAAGCAATCAATGGCAATGCCGGAACGTTCCCGTGCTGGTGACTGGACAGCGCAATAAAATATTCGTTTTTTAATCACAGTATAGAGGTACTTTCATACAAACAATGATTAAAAATATGATTTTAAAAAAAATATCACGTCTGCCGAAAAATGGTCTGGATGACAAAAAGAGGTACGTAGCAAGGACGTCAAGAAGGTCGCAAGCCCCAACATGAGAACGTCCGCGAACGACGAATGCAGAGCTGCTCGACGACATCCAGAGCCTCTGCGTCGCGTTCAAGCACGACCCGTCGCTTGGCTTGGCGCGCTGCGTCTTGATCGGTGCGGGGACGTTGTTGAGACGACGACGCCCAGCAGGACAGTGTCAAGCTCAAAGCGCAGTGGCAAGAGTCGTACAGAGGTCGCCGTAGCAGAGCGTGCTATCGATGCCTTCGCAGGCCGAGCCCGCGACACGCGCCGTCGCCGATGCATTGGGGCCGTCGCAGTATCTTCAAGTTGTCCGGATAACACAGCGTCGTGCTTTCGCCACGATTGAACGGACGAAGTTTACAGCCGCAGTGTTGACCCAGAGCTTGTAGCGCTGAAGAAGCCGACGCTGGCTTCGTCGTCGTCTCGACTAACCGGTTCGCACATCACAAATCGCCAGAGCGCGGCGTCCGATCCATGCATACTAGAACTGTTTCTAGGGACGAGCTACGCATGCATCCCCATGGCAAGGTTGTCGAGGTGCAGTTGTAGCCTACAGGTGTACGCGATCGACTAGCACGACTCGTGCGATTGCTTTTTACTACAAATAACACTAGAAGGTACCAGTACAAGATCACGAAGCAGCTCGGCGACGGGACGTACGGCTCGGTGCTCAAGGCCGTGAACCGGACGTCGGGTGAAGTCTCCATGCGCATGACGACAGCGAAGAAGACGATGGCCTTCTTGCGCCTACACAATGATGCGCCGTGAGATGTGACGCATGCGATAGTGAAACCTACACACTGTGGTCGTGCAACTGGGCGGTCGTCGCCGCCATGACCACCGTGTCGGAACTGGCCGCCGTCATCTTGGCCATTCGCCCACAACCTGCACACACGTGGCCCTTGTTGTAGCTGGCTTGAGCTGGCATGCTGCCGCCATGTGCTCCATCTCGCCGCATCGGTTGCACTTGATGGTGTCGACATGCGAGGGCGTCGCGCCGGTCGTGTCGGTTGAGGCGCTCCACGGTGATGGGCATCGACGCGCAGTGACGGAAATGGGACGTTCATATCTCAAGAGGTATCCCTCTACCAAGTGAACATCAAACTTGTGAAAGAGAATAGATCTGACCTCTGAAAATGTATGCTCGTCGTCAGTCGCCGTTCACTTTTCATTCTGCCATTTGCAAATGCCGGCCATTTCCAGCCCAAAGCCGGCGTCGGCTCGTCCCGTGCGACGCCCGCGGTGCCACGCGCAACATGAAGGCCGCGTGCGCCGCCTTCTCCAACAGGTCCGACACCGACTATATGGATGCAGAGGGCTCATGCCTGCGTAGGCTCGACAACATTCGAGCTCGTATCGCCGCGTCAACTAAGCGCAGCGCGCCGGGCCGCACGCCTTGGACGACGTGGCGACGGGCCCGGCACCGAAGAAGGCGCACACCGACACGGACAGCGTGCTTGAAGACCTGCTGACAAGCAACGCCCAGATTCTGAAGACGCTCGCAGTCTTGTAGGCGAGCCGCGACCAGCTCACCGCGCGCGTCGTCGCGAGCGACAACGCGACCTGCCAGATGCTCGCCCAGCTGTTGCTCCAGGTCGAAGGTATTCCATCTCGGTTTATAGTCGTTTGGACTTGAACAAGTCGTAAGGATGGAGCAACAGCTGGGCGAGCATTTGACTACTCGCGTTGTCACTCGCGACGACGCGCGCTGCGAGCTGGTCGTGGCTGGCCTTCAAGCCTGCGAGCGCCTTCAGGATGAGGGCGTTGCTCGTTAGCAAGTCCTCAAGCGCGCTGTCCGCGCCGGTGCGCGCCTTCTTCGGTGCCGGGCCCGTCGGCACGTCGTCGAAGGCGTGCGGTCCGGGCGCGCTGCGCTTCGCTGACGCGGCGATACTCTTTGTCTATTAGCTGCATGTTGTTGTTGTTAAAGCGAGTCAATTTAGTTATAAAATTTACACTAAACTGTTTTGGACTGTCGATTCATAGAATGTTGTGCTAGACGGCAGCAGCAGCGAGGCTTAGCCGTGTTGAAGGCGACGCTTAGCCGTGTTGAAGGCGAGGCGTATGGATGGCGCAAGCCGGGACGAAGTGGTCACGAAGCCAGGCATCGTGGCGTGCATCATTTGGAAGAGGCACATCGCTTGGGTATTCAGCAGCAAGTGGTGAAAATGTATCTTGGTCAAAAACACGGCGCGGGCGGCGGCCGCGTTGGGTGTCACGACGGGCGCCTCGGGACGGAAGACGCGGTCGTTGCGGGCGAGCCAGAGAGTGTGCAGCACACAGGCGCGTAGGATCGGCCACATCATGTCACCGCGCGTCGGCGGTAGCGTTGGGCCGTCCCCAGCGGCTCAAACAAGAGCGCGTACACCGTCTAGTTCCAGCGCCTCGACGAGAGGCCGAGAGACGGCCCAGACTGCATTGACAAATTCGCAGCGGAGCAGTAAGTGCTCGTACGTCTCAGTGCACCGCAGACCGGTCATCCTTGAGCGTCTTCTCCCAGGAAGTAGAGCCGGGTGCGGACTTCGATAGCGCCCAGCACGATGCGGTACATGAAGTCCGCGTAGCGCGGCAGGATGTCGTCGGGCTGGCGGTACTCGGTGGCGCAGCGGGCATCGTGTAGTGATCTTCGGGGAGCCGAAGATACCGCGTGGGAAGGAGGCAGGTGGCCGCGGCGTCGGTGTCCTGCGTCCCGCGACGTTACCGTTGCGAGCGGCGTAATTTGGCCAAAGAGGAGCATGCGCCATTCCGGCGACCCGGGCGCGGCGTCCATGTCGCGTTCCGGCACTTGGTCGAGGCAGGCCGTGGCTTGCGTTATCGCCTGGAGCCAAACCACCGTGGGTGGGCGTCCGGTAGACTCCCTGTCAGAGCAGCGGGCGCGAGCCAAGTTGCGGGCGTGCTGCGTCGCATGGCTCGATGTCAAGGGGCGCAGTGCGGCGGCACACGGGAGGAACGCGTTGTGCCACAATGGTTGGTCGTGGGGCGTCGCAGTCGTCTGGCTCCGCGCGCCCGTGCGGTAGACCGTGTGTCGCGTCTCCATCCACAGCTTGAGCAGAAAGCGCCAGCGGAGCGGAAGGCGAGCCGACCGGAGGACAGCGTGCACCACGGGGTGGTCCGGGTCGCCATGTAGCAGGTCTTGGAGGTCGCCCCACGGCGCGTACTGGAGCGAGACAAGAGTCCATCCCGGTGAGATCTAGGCCGGGCGTGATTCAGGTGGCAGTTGAATCGCTTGAGCGGTGCGCAACATACCTGTGCGGTGGCGCGCGGTCCACAAGGCCAATGCATGCGCCAGCCCCATGCCGTTGAGTCGACGAGGGGAGAAGGCGAGGTCTCCCGGAAGTGACGTACGCGATGTTCATTGCGCAGGAATTGGAGCATCATGCGGTCGATGATCGCCGCGGCCTTCGCTGTCGGCGTCACCCAAGCGAGTTGGTACCAGAGAAGCGGCAGACAGAGCGTGCGTAGAATGACGACTTTGCCGACGAGCGTGTTCGACTTGTACGACCAGAGCCGGAGCCGTTCAGCAAACTCGCGATGGCGTAGTCGAAGCGAGCGTTCGAGCCCCGGCGCAACCAGAATACCGAGTGCCCTCGTTGGAGTCTCGTACTTGACCACGAGCAGCGCGAGCGCGTTCGAGACCGGAGCGTGCGTCAGAAGCTCGGTCTTGTGGGAGTCAAGCAAAAGCCGGAGACGACACAAAACTGTTCCACCAAGGCGAGTTGGGCGTGAAGGGCAACTGCATCCCGCGCGATCGTTGCGTATCGTCAGCAAAGCAGCCGCCGACGTGGACGCCGAGGTCCGGCCTGCTGCGTAGCAGGTTGCAAAGAGGTTCCATGGCAAAAGCGAAAAGGAGCGGTGACAACGGATCGCCCTCGAGGATTCCGTGTCCAATGTCGAAGGCACGCGAGAGATGGCCGTTGACCAAGAGCCGCGACTGGCGTCTGGCGTGCAGGCAGCGGACGGTGTCGACAAAGGCCGGCGGAAAGCCGAGTCGAGGCAGCGGTTTGGTGAGGGACGTGTGGTAGACGCGATCGAACGCCTTTTCAAAGTCCAAGAGGGCGATGATCGGCGTTGGCGCGTGGTCCTTGCAGTACGCGAGCATGTCGCTCTAGGTTGGAGACGATCGAGCGCCCGTGGATGAAGCCGTTTTGGTCCGAGTGAGCGAGCCAGTCGTTTACTAGCTGCATGTTGAATCCCATGACGCTGACGACTCGGACGTTGACGCTACCGTGCTCTGTCGGCGTGACGTCTTGCCGACAGTAAACTTCTTCGTTGAGAGTCACCGGCAGAGTCACCGGGCGATCGAGCGGGCACCTGGAGCTTCGATGGCGCACGTCGAAGGCGACATCAGACGCCGCGGTCATCCTCAAAACGTGCGTTGCGTCTTGGTACGTGCGTGCACCAACTCACGACGTTCTTGGTCGTATGGACGCTAGTGTGAAGATGGCGCTGGAATGTCTGCGAATTTGTGCGTCTTGGAGTCCTCTCGCTCGTGAGCGTTGGCGCACGGGTGCTGGTTGCGTATCGACGCGCTAGTGCTTGCGCTGGATGGGCAAGTAACATGTTGAGCGGCGTCTTGCTGCGTCACAGGTCGTTGTTACTGTACGGATACAAGTTGATGCTGCAGCTGGCCCTCGCGCTCCATGGTCTGCGCGGTTTTGGGAACCAGCGCTCGACAGTTGAGACGCGTGTGTTTAGTTGTGCTCGGTTTACTGGGTACCGCATTGACAATAACACGCAACTTGCGTCGTCGTGACGCTCGACTTCCATGGAGCTGGCTATATGCGTCGGTTGGGTACTGGAAGCGTACAGATGCACCATAACAGTTGCACCAGTGCGAAGACGCTTGCAGCTGCTGAATGCTGCGTCCTCCAAGGCGACGCGCGCGCGTCGAAGCAGCAGCATCTCATGAGCACCAGCAGCGTGGATCGATCGAGTTGAAGATCACCTCAAGTTTGGTTCTCCGTTGGGTTTGATTGGCTGCTGTTCAAGAAGGAAGCGACATTGGCCAATCCGCGTGCACAGGTCTATCCATGGTCTGTCATTGGCTAAAAAACGAAAAAGCAGCCAATTGCAACCGAAATTCGGGCATATCGAAATATCTTGTCATAGAGCATGTTGGCGCCCAGCTTGGCCCCGCCATGAACCAAGTCGCACACGGTTCTCTCGCAAGAAGGCTTGCGCCATGAACCGCCGCTTGCTTGCAAAGGGCCAAGAGGGCTTTTGACTACCTGCTAGCTGTATTCCTCGCACCAACGGCGCTGCGTAACTAGCACAGAGTTGCCTTCTGAGGTTAGGGTACCCTCGCACGATTGCCTCCGATTGCAGAGTCGAGGGTATACACCGCTCAACCTGCAGTGTGTAGCTGAGTAACGATACTGTCTGTAGTAGAAGAGACAAGGTAGCCTTAAGAGTGATGCTTAATTGAAGACCAGATTACGAACTGTAAAGAGGACTGCCAGTGCTACATCCGATGCCACAATGCGTAGCGTTCCCAGCACGAAACCAAGAAGCCACTTAGTTGCGGAAGGTCGTGGGGCGCGAGGCCTTGAAGACCGTGCGCTGGTTCTTGTTGGCCGGGCGGGGCACGCGGTGCGACAAGGGGAACTTGATCGCGCTGTCGTGGTACTGAAGCGTGTTGGGCTTCTTGCAGTCCTTGGCGGCAAGGATGGCCGTGCGCATGATCTGGATCGAGCGCGGGCGAGCACGGTGGCGACCGGCAAGCTCGGCGTACATCTGCTCAACGGCGCCGCAGAGCGTCACATCACGGTACTCCTTGTACATGTTGTGCGTGCCCGAGCGCGAGTTGTAGCGGATCCACACACCGTAGTTCTTGACGATGCGCTTGTTCTTCTCGCGAAGCTAAGAGAAGATTTGCATGAGCCATCATGTTCGATCGCGTGATGGATCGAGCGAGCGAGGTAGGATGATGCGAACGCAGTCCATCGCCTATCGCTGCCGTCGTCACCAGCGAGAACCCGGCTACTGCAAGTCGTCGCCGTCGACGCGTGGCGGTGACCACATGCTATGGTGACACCGCCATCGCGCGACATATACAGGCGGAAGAAGTGCACACAACGGTCTCGCCGCGAGAATTCGACGGTTTGCAAGCTGGACCGTGAGGTCTCGTGGCAGGCAAGCGTCTAGGCCCATTTCGGGGCCGCTGAAGCGAGCGGGCACCTTGCGGCGCCATCGCTCCAGCACGCAGGATAGTATGATGATGCCAATGTCATAACGACATGGATCGCACATCGTCTCAGTCGAGACCACATCGGGAAGCGAAGGCACGTACCTCGTTGAGGCAGAGGATCTCGCCCGTCGTCTTCTTCATCTTCTTCATCTGGTGGAGGAAGTACCAGAAGCGCGACTTGGCGAGCACCTCGTTGGGGGCGAAGAGCTTCATGCGGAAGGCCGGCGGGTTCGGGTCCGACTCAGTGGGGGCCTTGCGGCCAACGACTTGGTATTGGTGGATCTACATCACAGCGCGTCAGCACCTGGTAGCTCGAGAGCAGTCGGCACGTACAGCAGGCATCTTCAATTAAAGGCAAATTGCAAACTATTTCGCCATCCTAGTAACCCGAGCCGCTGGGACCAGCGATTTGTTGTCGCCAGTCAATCGACGCGACGCTTTTTAGCCAATGGCCTTGCGATCTGCCACTTTCGGTGTTTTGATTGGACAATATTACAAACCTCCCACAATACGTTTCCAGCAACCTCTGAGAATACATACGCTGCAAGATCGCGAGATGGCCAAGGACAAGGACGAGCTGGTCGCCAAGAAGGCGCGCCGCGAAGAGCATCTGCGGACGATCTATGCGACCCTTGAAGCCATTGTGCCCACGTACGAGGCTGCGATTGCGACGCTCGAAGCTGCCGTCGCGAGCAACCGGACGCCCCGCGGCGTCGAGCAATGGTTCTTCCTGGTACACCATGTCATTTGCGTGCCCAGCCGCTCAGAACGCGATACTAGTACCTGCGCATTGTCGACGTGGGCGTGCAGATTCGGCGAGGCGAGCTTCGCCATCGCAGCACCACCCACGCCAAGTACAAGTCGCTGACCAAGACCGTGCACGCCAACGCGACAACCAACGGTTTTATCCCACCCACTCGGGGCGGCGCGAACCACCAAGTGTGTATTAGGTCTTGGCATTGACGACGCCAATGTGCTCATCAACGACCTCGAGAAGATCCATCGCCAGCTCAAGAAGCGCAAGCCAATGCAGCTTGATATGCTCGAATCGCAGTTTGACATCCTCGACCGCGATACCATCGGGCCGCTCGACAAGCGTGTTTTTGAGTGCAAGCGGTCCATGGAAAGTAGGCGCAGCGTGCATTACTCGAGCTGTGCAATCGTCGTCCACGGCGACCTCCACGTCGAGCTCGTCATCAAGGACGGGACTGACATCATCCTCACAAGCCGTCGCATCTGCACGTCGATGGCGGTCTGCGTCTGCACCGAAGACGCCGAACCGTGGCGAGGCTTTACCATCACCGAGAGTGCGCCACCGGCCAAGAAGCCGATGCTGCGGTGCGTAGCATCTTGTACCATCTTGATGCCACGTCATGGATCAGGCCCGTCACAGAAGAGCCGAATGACGCGCCGAGTCTCAACGACCTCAAAAAGAGCTTTGGTGTCGACGTCGACGAGCGTGAGCGCACGACAGAAGCCTTCCACAACGAAGCGCTGGGGCTTCCGCCCGTGGAGAGCGCACCGAGTCTTCCCGATAGCCGAACCAAGCGCCGGTGCTTGCCGCTCCAGCAAGCCGTCCAGAAAGAGGTACGATAATGACGGCGCCAGTTAGCAAACATGGCGTGCGTCTAGGTCGCGTCGGCGCTGGATGCGTATTCGCAGTCGACGGTGCATGCGATTCTAGCGGCACTCAAACCAGTGGGCCCCCCCATATCAAATGGGAGTGTGCCCTGCGCCGTGTACTTCAACCTCATTGAGTGGAGTCATGCGTCGAGTACTAGCGTCGACAAGGTCACGATGGTCGCCAACATTGCTTCGTCAGCAAACCTCCATGTGGCCAAGTGGGTCATGCAGGACATGGCGCTACCCGTGGCCGAGGCTTCCTCGCTCATCACGCATCTCGCCCAAAACGCAGGCTTCCGGCACGTCATCGAGCTCGCCCTGCGTGGGCTCATGACGCCATACACTGTCTTCTCCGGCCTCTTGGTGAGGCGAGGCGATGACTTCAGTATGTGATGACGGCGTGTAGGCGTCGACCGCAACACTCCCTTTGCTCGAGAGCCTCGATCTCTCGTACAACAGCTTGCAGTCGCAAGGGCCGGCGCTCGCGGCGGTGCTCAAGCTCTGCCCACGCCTCCGCAGCCTCCATCTCGAACAATGGTACGTGTCCTCTGGAGCATACAGGCAACGACAACACGCCATATTGGACTAGTCGACTGGACGGTCTCGAATCAGATCTGCTGCAGGGACTGGAAGACAGTGGCGGACTCCTCGAGACACTGGTCCTCGCCGATAATGCGCTCACCGCGCGCTTTGTCGGTGGTCTATTTGGCTCGCTCTCGGTAGCTCTCGCGCTATCCCAGAGGACGTCATTTCTTGTGCGCTAGACGCCCTTACTGCACACGTTGGACCTGCGCCACGTCCAGTGCCTTGGTGCCAGCCAACCAGCTGCCTTTGCGTATCAGTCGTTGCCAGCGCTCCAGCACCTCATGCTCGATGCATCGACGCTCCTGCAGGACGCGTCGTTCGTAAGCAGCCTCAACTCGGCCTTGCTTGACGAGTCGTGCGTGCTACGGACGCTGTCGCTGCAGTGCACGTCGCCGCCTCTGGACGCCATGGTCGAGGTGACATGGAGCGGATGAGGCGATCGCACTCATCATGCCAAGTAGCTCCTCGGCCACGTGACGCACTACGGACAGCTCGAGCGCTTGTCACTCGTGGGCATCCCGTCCCTGCCGCCGCTCCACTCGCTCGTGTGCGCAGGCCTCGCCAAGTGCGCGGAGCTCGATCTCACCCTCGACCTGGCGGCGCTGCAGGTAGTATCGTCGCATCCACCTGCAGTGTCACTGACGGTCGCTTGTGTAGCCGTTTGTGGCATCGCTATCGGCGGCACGGCTGCCAGCGCTCAAGTACCTCCGCGTACGCATCTCGTCGCCGACGTCGCCCGAGGCCATCGAGCGCCTCCGCGGCGACGTGCTGCTGCACGTGCCGGCCATCAAGACCATCGAGATGACGTCGCGGGCCGTATAAAAATGACCGGATACAGTATCCGGATGCGATTTGATTGGAGAGGATGCATACGCGCAGTGGGGCATGATGAAACGAAGTCGAGACCGGGAGATGAGAAGCTGGAGTCCGCCCGAGCACTGGGAAGACGTGGCCAAGGTGGGCGGGCGCATCGCCACCGGCCGCTTCGGCCACCTTGTCTGCGCCCGCGTACCGCTTGATGCCAAGTACGCCGTTGACGGCGACGAGAGCTGGACGCCGCTCGAGCTCCTCGATACGTGCTTTGGCCAAGGCCTCTCGGTGCACATGGTCATCGACCTCACGAATACGTACAAGTACTACAGCGGCGCGAACGAGCTCGAGACGCGCAACGTCGAGTACGTCAAGATGCGCGTCGAGGGCTTTGCCGACGTTCCGTCCGAAGACATCGTCGACCGCTTCATTGACGTTGTGTCGCGATGGGAAGCGTCGTTGGCGCGATATGCCCCGGACGACTTGGCACCCGTCGCTGTCGTGCACTGCACGCATGGCCTCAACCGTACGGGCTACCTCGTCGTGCGCTACCTCATGGCGACACAAGGCCTCTCGGTCAAGGACGCGCTCCGCACGTTCGCGGCCGCGCGCCCACCCGGGCTCATCAAGCACATGTACGTCCAGAAGCTCTTTGAGATGTTCGACCAAGTCGACGAGCTCGAGCTGCCCGTGCTGCCGTTGTGGGCGCAGACCAAGTACGACCGGTCCCAAGATCAACTCGCGAGCGCAGACATCTTCAAAGCCACCGAAGACGACCGCGATGTACACGAAAAGGTCCGGGACCGCGAGAAGCGCCGCCACGACCGCCGCAGTCCGCCAAAGCTGCGGCGAATGCCGGAAAACTGGCGCCACGCGCCCAAGATCGGGACGCTCATCGCGCACACAAATGTGGTCGCCATGCGCACGCTGCTCAGCGCCGACTACAGCGTGCCGCCCAGCGAGACGTGGACGCCCGAAGCGTTTGTCGCGGCCCAAGCGGCCGCCGGCCTCAACGTGCAGCTCGTGATCGACCTCACGAATACGACTAAGTACTACGACGACATTCCGGGTGTCCGGCACGAGAAGCTCGTCTGCGAAGGCTTCCACGCCGCGCCGACGACTGCGATCGTCGATGCGTTCATTGCGCTCGTCACACAGTTCGACGCGTCGCCGTCATCATCTGGCGGTCACATTGCTGTGCACTGCACGCATGGCTTAAACCGCACCGGGTACCTCATCATCCACTACCTTGTCCGCGTCAAGGGTCTGTCGCTCGTCGATGCGCTCGCCGCCTTTGCCGATGCACGGCCGCCCGGGCTCCTCAAGCCGTCGTACATTGAAGCGCTCTTTGAGATGTATGCACCCAACGACGTCGTGACGTACCCGACGTCCCTGCCAGCGTGGGCACTCGCCAAGTACAGCAAGGAGCATAACTCAACCAAGAAGGGCCAGAAGAAGAAGACCAAGAACATGCATGTGACCGAGGCCAAGGCAGCGACTCATGCACGCAAGCCGCCGCCGATGCAGTGGTACAACGTCCCGAACGCCGGCGCGCCGATCCTGTCGCGGGGCGCTGTCACGTTTGTCCCGCTCAAGACGATGCTGGACGATCGCTATGACATTGGGGCACAGGACTGGACGCCGAGTGCGTTTGAAGCCTGGAACGCAAATGAGAACCTCGATGCCATCATCTCGATGGACGGCCTCGGCTTCTTCTATGACCCGGCGCAGCTCTCGGTGCCAGTGTTCGAAGTCCGGCTCTTGAACAAGTCATTCCCAAACCCGCCTCTGATTGCGAGCTTCTACAATGCAATCGCGATGCTCCAAGAGCAACACACGGAGACGACGCGAGTGCGCATCGGGCTCCAGTGCGCGACCATGTCCCGCGCGGCGTTCTTCCTCTTGCACTACCTCATGACACAAGACAAGTTGTCGCTGGATGACGCGATGGCCCTCTACTCGGATGCGTACCCGCCAGCGCCGCTCCTCAACAGTCTGCACCGGCACTTGCGCAAGCTTGATACCGGCGCACGTCCCATGGCCAAGAAGATTGTGTTTGAGAGTGACGAGTCGGACGTCGACGAGCCGTTTGGCAGCCATGTCGAGACGACCCAGCCCTCGAGCTAAGAAGTAGTAGTTGTTGTCGTGGTTATGTCGGCGTTTCGAGTTGGGCGAGTTGCTGCTCAAGATGCGCTTTGACGCTCGCGCGGTGCGCCTCCAGAAGGACTTGGCGCGTCCGCATCGCTGCGTGCAAGGCGCGGTAGAGCACGAGCCCCTGAATGATAATGAGTGTGTGATTTGAAGTGGGCAATCTGGTCGACCTTCGTACCTTGGCGTGGGTAAAGGCCACAAGCACATGCAACGTCGCTGGCGGCGTCCGGGCGCCAGGGCCTTCGAGAAGCTGCTGCTTGAGCGTCGGCGGTAGTGTGAGCCACTCGTCGTGCTCCTTCTGGTCGAGGTACGACCGCAGCGGAAGGCGCACTTCGCCCGCAAGCTCGGGGCGACCGCTGGCGTGATCGACGACTTGCACGTGCATTTCGCAGTAGATCGATGGCACGGGCATCGTGAGCGCATGGTCCCACGACGGCCACTCGTCGTCGAAGCGCGGGTCCGTCGCTTCGAACGGCACGACGACCTTGCCGCTCGTCTCGAGAATGCGTACCCGCACAAAGGGATTAATCTAACACCATTTCGTGTTTGTAGCTGGTGCGGGTCGTACCAGTTGCCGGTTGACACGACGCGGGAGGTGACGCGCCTCGAGGATTGTGACGCGCACGGCGGCTTGGCTCTCGCCCGACGCTTTGAGGCACGAGACACCACGCACCGGATCGATCGCTTGAGTGGCTTCGATCACAAGCATCTCGGCACAAATCGCCTGCGTTTGACCTGATGAGCCAGCACCGATGAAGGAGGCGTCGCCGTACGTCCATCGTGGCGGCGTTGGCGGCGAGCTGGTCAGCGACAGCGCGCGACGGGACGCTGGTCGAGATGCGAACGCGCGACGGTGCCATGGGCACGTACGCTGGTAGTATTTGTTGGGATCGCACTGCTTTCGTGTCGAACCAATGTCGGCTGCAATAAGAAAGAATTCGAAATAGGTCCGACGGAAGCAACGCCCGCGGCTGGGTCGCCCGGCGGCGTGCGAGCACAGCGTCTTCGGCGTCGATCAGGATCGCAGCCCGCGCGCCGTCAAACCTACGTATAGGAGACATCGCCCCGTTTATATATGCATAGATACAATGACGCGATATCGTAGACCGATGACGCACCGTTCGTCGACCGTGTCCATGGTGGCGCGACGTCGGATCAAGACGACTTGCCCATCACTGTGCCGTTTTTCCGTGTCATATCTACCATCACTCTTCACTGTAAAATGACGGTCTTACGTGGCAGGCGTACCGGACTTTGCACTCGACCAACCGTTTTTGGAGTGCAATGCGCGTGGCCGACGCCGCCCGCACCGCCCGCTTCTGCGCACGAGTGGACGCGGTTGCTTGGCACTTGGCGACAAACGCAAGTGCGAGTCCAGCCTTGCGAAAGGGCGTCGGAAAGAGACCATTCGTCGTCGGTGTCCACGTAGTCGCCGCCGCCTCGTGCATGGCACGAATCGTGGCGTCGATGATGCCATCGGCGGCGCACCGGTTCTGTTTGTCACGCCAGTGCAAGCGGGCCCCTAGTCACAGTATTTGAGTACACACCGCTACGAAAGCGTACCGGCGCGCAAGAGCTCGCGCAAGATCGGCGCATTCGCACGCTCGCACGCTTCCATGTATGGCGTCCGCTGTGTAATCTGTGGCTTCTATTGAGACGGAGAGGGCGTGTAGTGTTATACCACGTGGCGGTGGTTGACGTCCGCGTTGGCGCCGAGAAGAAGCTGGACGACGGCCAATTGGCCGTTGCTGCAGGCAGCGAGCAGCGGCGTGAGTCCCATGGCCTGCGTGACATCTATCAACTTGATACGCTGCTGCAGTATAGCACGTACGCTCTCTGCATTGGCACTAAATCCTTGCTGCAAGAGGTCGTTGACGCGGGCAACGTCCCCACGCATACAGGCATCGCGAATCGAGCCCAGCTGCGGTTTCTAGCGCATTCTATATTGTCAGTGGCTTGGAGACAAAGAGACGACAGGTTGTACATAGGTGCCATCGAGGAGGGTCTGGAGCAGCTGCTTGTTCTCGTTGGCCACTTGGCGCCGGCGCTCCATGCGCGCTTCTTCATTCTGCTGCAAACACCGCTTCTCCCATGCCTTGCGTCCTTGATGCACCTTCTTGCGCTGCGACGCTTCCAGCGACGCTTTGGCATCGGCGCGGCGTGCGACGAGCGCGAGGCCTTCTTGGCGCAGTCGTGCGAGCTCGTCTCGTTGCATCTTGCGCGTCTGGATCGGCAGTGCTGCATCGTCGTTTCCTTCAACCGCTGGCGTCGCCTTGTCGTCTGCTGCTAAAGCCGGGTCGACAAAGAAGGGCGCGTCGACCGCAGCAGAAAAGACGCGGGGGCGGTCCCACGCCGTGTCGCCAGTTCGGAGATTGCAAAAGTAGTAGAGCCCCGATGACTCGTCGTAGCACTTGCGGTACACCGACGTCGCAATGTGCTGCATGAACCGCCGCGCCGCGTGGCAACGCGCCATGCGCTGGATGACCCGCGCCGCCGCGTCCGCCTTTTCGCCGCCCTGCATCTTTGGCTGACCTTTCGGTTACACCCGAATGACGCGCCGGTGTCATGTAAGGACGCCGATAACCTTGTGCTTGAGGATCCTCTCGAACGCCGTCGATCTATGGCTGGGCATCTCTCGTATCGGACTCGCTCGCTTCGCCTTGGTCCAGTCGACTGCGTTTGAGCCAACATCACCGCATCACGAAATAAATGACCATATTTGTACGTGGTTATAGCTACCGCATACACTATTTCTCTACGCCTCTCTCGTTGTGGGTGCTGGCGCTGCAAAAGCATCCGTACCGGTACGTGATCATGCCACGATTGCACTTGGCATTCCACGCGCTCTGGTGCTGCCAGCGCATCAGCGCCGAAAATAACTGAGAAGATTCGGCGTGTACCATAGCACACGTGGCATATGCCGCAAATAAAGTGTGGCATGTGCCACTCTCAATTTGCATTCCCATGCGCCCAGACGTCGACGACGCTGACCGGCCGCGCCAGCCGAAGGCCGGCGACGCGGTCGTGGCCTTGATCGCCGGCCTCGTCTGTGTGCTCGTCTGCGTCGCTAGCCTCTTTGGCAACGAAGCATATGCAACCCGAACCCACGACGGCCTCTCGGGCGCCCTCGCCGATGTCGTCGCGTACGACTCGACGCTGGACGCGGCAGCGCTGGACGGCCGCCTGGTGCACATCTCGGCGCGCCTCATGGGCGAAGGCAATGCGCGACCGATCGTCTCGGACCGAGAGTTTGGCATCGCGGTCGCCGGCGTCCACTTGCACCGGACCGTCGAGATGTACCAGTGGCGAGGTATCGTCCGTCATGCAGGAGGACACCATGCGAGGCTACGAGTAGAGACCCGGCACGACCACACGTACTCGGAAGACGGCGAAGAGAAGAAGGACGTGACGTACTCATACGACGAGGTGTGGAGCGAGACGCCGATCCACAGCGACAGCTTTGACGACCGCAGCTACAGCAACCCAACGCTGTGGCCATATGGCTCTCGCAAGGTGCGCTTCGCCTAACGTTAGTTTCACCGTCTATGGACGCATGGGGTAGACTACACACCCAGCGTTGCACGTCGAGGCGTACGCGCTCTCGCATGCGATCGTCGACTTGATCGCGACGCCGACCGAGCCGATCCGCCTGGACCAGCGCTCGCTTCTCCAGATGGAGTCGGTCTTTGACTTGGCGCTGCATATGCCGCAGGTACACACCGTGTCTAGCTGTACATCGATAACTCACACTGTTATCTACAGGCCGTGGACGAAATCCCAGCGCTTGTCGACATGTACATTGACGCCGAGTCGGCCTTTCTGTCGCGCCCGCGTAAGAACGAGCCGCGTCCGCACCGCAACGCGATCGGCGACGTCCGCGTCTCGTTCGCTGTGACGCCGGCCAAGCGCGTACTTGCCTCCATGACTTGTCGTCGTCGTATGCATCGATATTTGACGTAGGTGAGCATCCTGGCCATGCCGCTGCACGGCACGCTGGTGCCCTACACAAGTGCTGGCGGTGTGCCCATCGCGCTGGTCCACGACGGTCTCGTGCCGGCTGAGACAATGCTCTACCACGCCAAGTCGTCGCTCGTACCGCCTTTCTTTGTCGTCTGATGGTCGCATGAACATGGCTGTTGTTGTACTAGCGCTGGAAGACAATGGGGTGGCGCGGCCTAGGACTCGCGCTCTCGTGTCTCGGTTACTACGGCGTCCTCCAGCACTATCTCCACACGACGCTCTTTGTCCCGTCGGCGATGGGCCCGCTGCATCTCAGCGTCCGCCCGACCAACCGACTCGCACTTGCACTGGCCATGGGGTGACCTTCCATCTCATTTAAAGACGATGCAGGCTGAACTGGTCGTAGGTGGAGCACGACGTGGTGTACGATCGCGCTCGCGTGGCTCTGGCAAGGGTACGTCGCGTATCTGTACAAGGCGGGAAGACGACTATGTACTAGATTTTGGCTTCTCTCGCTTGGGCTACTGTGGCCTGTGGGCATTTTGCCCGTCGTGCTCCTCCTGTTGTCGGCGTCGCGCCACAAATTTGCCTCGGATTAGCTCACCTGTGGCACACGATGGTTTGCTGCTGGTTTACTGTGGTACCCCAAGCGCCTGTACAGCGTGCTTCTGCAGTTTAAAAAATAAGGAGCTCGAAGGGTCCCGGAACGTTGCTGCTGGTGACGACCACGTTCTTGAGGTTGACGTCGGCTGTCCAGCTACTTGCAATTGCTACGAGGACTCAACAACGCCGCGGCTACTCGTGCGTAATGCCTCCTTGACCGCGCCTAGTCCCAGCATCGAGCCCCGTCGCTTCTTCGCATCGTGTTGTGGGGCACCTCCGCCTGCCTCTTCGTCGGGGTATCCCACTTGTTGAGCCATGGCTGCGTCGACACCGCTGCTTTACAAATAGCGAGTACGGCTCGTATTGCGCTTGGGATCGTGGCGGCTGCAGAGATACCATTAGATGCAAAGGTGTCGATGGTAGAATGTACAGGTTACAGGAGGTTAAATAACTAGTCATGACTAGACGCTAAAGACAAAAGCTTCGGTGGTTGCCGTCGCGACGCCCATGATGTTGGTAAAGATGAACGTCTCTTCGTCGGACCAGTCGAGCGTCCAGGTCGGCGCCGTGAATTCGAGGGGCTGGAGCTTCTTGGGTCTCGGCAGCGCCATTTCATCGCGTAGCGGCTCTTGCTTGATACTACTGCCTTTGGAAGTGACGGGCGGCGACACGGCCGCAAGCTTGTTGAGCAGTGCTTTCTGGCGCTTGACGAACCGAATTTTGGTGTCCGACTTGCACTGGATCTGGTTATGGCGCTGGCGGTGCTCCTCGCAGAGCGTGTGGATGTCGCCGTTGTACTTGAGCGTGCGCTCGTTCGGGCACCGGCCGCTCTTGTACTTGCAGCGGCCGCGGTACACACTCGAGGTTAGCTCGTTGGTGGTCGTCGCTGTCATATTCGTTGGCGTCTTTTGCATGCGCTGCGAATTGAACTGTGACGGACGTCGCTTTTCACGTGTATTGTTGCCTCTTCTCAAGCCACCAGCTGGGGGCGAGTGGGCGTTGGACAGCGGTCGTGGTGATTAGTAGAAGTTTACATCGAAATCTGAAAACGAGCCTGTCGAGTCCCACTTCACGACACGAGCTATAGTAATACGAACCGCAGGCGTCTCTGTAGACAGCGATGGTACCTTGACAAGCATCGAAAATCCTTTACTCTAGCTACATCAAGCGGAAGGAGGCCTCGCGAGCAGTACCCAAAGCCACACCCGACATTGCACTTGCTGTTTGAAGCTCGTCACGTCTTGGGTGCCAGTCCGATCCTCGCCACCTCGCTCGACGCGCTATCCTATAAATGCCAGCAGTAATTGGGATGGTTTTATTTAGACTATATCTGTGCTAGTCGAAGGATAAGGACTCATATATTAACTTATACGTTCGAGTTACCCACGTATGTAGTCGCGTAGTAAACAGAGATCCGCCAAGCATTACGCACGTCACTTGTTGTGCCACACGAATCTACGTCCGTTCAGACAGGCCGTGATCACTCACGATCAAATGCTATTGAGGTTTTGGGTGTTGGGATGAGGGGTTCCGCGTCGGAGTCCTGCCTTGCCAGAGAGAGTGCGCTCCCGCACACTCACCGACAACTTGCCCCAACATATATATGTATATATTGTACAGTGTATGTGTCGTCGTTGAAAGCGACTTGAATCGAAAAACCTCCTTTTTCTGTCACGTACTCCCCACTAATGGTTATAGAAGAAGAGAGTGGGCCGATGATGCCTGAACCGAGCTTTGTTGCCCTCAAACTGTTGTGGTAAACGTCAGCGTTGTTTCGAGAGCGGACGGCGTCATCACGGCAGGTGGTGCGGTGGAGTGGGACCTTGTGGCTAAACATGCGCGCAATGGAGGCGCGGGCTGACGACAACCCGCGAACGGCCAAGTGGCGTAACGCAACGACACCACGTTCGATGCTTCGATGTGCACGGCGGCTCGTCGAACGCCGCGATTACTGTACCGGTCGCCTGTACTACCACGTCGAGGGTTAGTCATACCAAGGACATCTCAGGTCAAAAACCACTCTAAGTACTGTATCCCGCTTTACTCTCCGGTACTACCAGCACAAGCTCAGTGAACAAGCGGTGGCAACCGCTATTTTTTGGCAGCGCACGTCAAGGTTCAACAACGTCCGCCAGCTGGTGTCGCTGGGTGACGTTGCAGCGACCAGATAATTCGCACCTCTGGCCATGTGGCGCCAGCGGATTTGAAACTCCTCCCACTCGGCTGCCACGACGACGACGACGTGCTGGCCACCGTGCTCCGTCTCGCAACGCTCCGCGCTGGTCCCAAGTCGCTCAAGGTGCGCGCTCCCAGCGATGCGGCGGCCGTGATAACCTCGTGACGTGGCACGCATACAAGGCGGTGTGCGACACCCGGATCATGGTGTCCACGGCACTCAAGCGTCCACGTACACGGTGGACGAGCGTGGTAACGCATGATCCGCGATAACGCCTATAGTACCGGTATTCGACTTGTCCGAGATGGTGTCGCCGCTCGATCTCGGCGCTGCGCTGAGCAACGACGCGCGGCGGGCGGCGTGGACAACCGCGCTCGGACGCCGCATCGAGCATCTCCAACGGCGCAGCCCCCTCAGCTACTTGGACTATGGCGCCAACGTCTCACGGACGACGCGCCATGACGTTGCCAAGGACGCACCCAGGTACTACTCGTACTACGTACACGCCTGTCGCCTTAGCACCGCGTTAGGAGCGGCCTCGTGGACGGTCCGCGCGACGAAGCGGCGCTGCAGCGCGTTCTTCTGGCCTACGCCGTGCGCAATGCCACCGTTGGGTACTGTCAGGGCATGCACGTGCTTGGCGCTATGCTACTGCGGCATCTGCATGACGAAGGCACAGTGTTTTGGTGAGCTTTTGTCTTGACGATGGGATGCTTGACGCGACGTAGGGCGCTGGCCATTGTTGTGGAGGAGCTATTGCCCGACTACCACACGCCCGACATGGCGGGTCTCGCCGCTGACCACGCTGTTCTGACGACGCTTCTGCCCACATTGTTGGCGTCTCGGAGATGTTGACCTGAGGCTCATGCTAGACTCGTAGGGTGCCGGTGGTTGCTGCGCAGCTGGCGGCTGCGGGCCTTGAACCGCCGGCGTTTGCGACCAAGTGGTTTGTGACTGCCTTTGCGAATACACTCCCACTCCGCGTCGCTCAGCGTATCTGGGATGCGCTCTTGTTGCGCTTGGCGTCGTCATCGGCGGACGCTGGCTGCATCCTACTCGGCACCGCCGCAGCACTCCTATCGACAATGACACGGGTCGATCTTCCGGAGGATGACGACCCAATGTCATTGCTGCAGTGCATACAATCCATACCCGACCAGTACTTGGTGACAGTAGAGGACCAAGACGCCTTTTTGGCTCTCGCATTTGCCTTTGCCGAGCGCCTTTGCCCTTTCGAGGTGCTGGGACTTGACAAATTGATACAAAAAGTTGATACGAACGACTTGTAGGTGTCGCAAATGCGAAGCGCCTACGCGCGCGAGGAGGCCGTGCAGGCCGATGCCAAGCATCGACTAACTGCGAGTCCGTCGCCGGCATGGGCCATCGCTCTCTACGACGCCGCGCCAACAAAGTTGCGTCCGCGCGGTTTTTTGCGGTGGCGAAAATCGAAAAAGACGCCACTTTTACTCGACTATGACGTGGCGTTTTCTCCGGGTAGCACTGCGAATCAACGGGCACCTCCTCCACGACCCTAGGTGCTCTTGGTCTCGTGCTCGCACAAGACAAGGTCGACAGTGCGGTTCGCGTGTATGGGTATAACTCGACAACCGCCATCGGGAAGCAGTACGCATCGTACGGAATCGGGGATGCTGACGGAATGTTAAAGGTGCAGCATGATCCAGCCCGGCGACGCCATCATGGCAGTCAACGGCGTGGACTGCACGAACCGACCGCTGCTCCAGGTAATATAACTGCTGCCTCAAATGTGCTATATAACACGCGGGTTCACGCGCTCGGTAGGTGGTCCACGAGCTCGCAACGCGCACAGATCGATATCGTATCGTACAGTTCCAGCGCACGATACAGCGCGTCGTCGCCGCGCGGACGGCGACATCGCCCCTGTACTCGACCGAAGGGCTCGTGCATGCATCGCCCGTGGCGCCGAGAGCTTCGTTTGCCCAGTTCTTTGCGCGGCACCGAAGTCCTCATATGGCCTAACCCGCATTCGGCACGTCCACACAACTCGATTCACATGTAAAATCGCTAAAACGACAGCGTCAAGTTATGCAGCGTGGGGTCCGACTCGGTCGGGTCGATCGCGTCTCGAAAGGCCGCGTTTTCTACGCCCAGCAGCATCAACCTCCCATAGCCTTGTCGCCGCGTACCGGCTTTGAGGAGAGCGTCGAGGTCCAGCGTCTTTGGCAGTGGACGTGTCAAAGTCAGCAGCATCTCGTGCTATGTAAGAGTCGTCCAAGCACCGTAGGCAAACAAGCCGTCGTGCCGATACCTGCGCTTCCAAAAGTGTCAACATGCGGTCGTTTTGGCGTTGCAGGTGTTGCAGCTGCGCACGAACGCCGCCTGAGTCCGCGACAACATCTACACCCCATCAAATCTCGCCTTCAAACAGCTTGTTTGGCATACCGGGCAGCGTCTTGAGCATCTTGCCACGGTGCGACGCATCTTGACTTGGGTATTTGCGCTTCGAGAGAACACAAATCGCTGTTGTAAACACCGGCGCCAAGTCGTCCAAGTGGACAGTGCACTGCTCCACGTAGGGCTCAATCTTGAGCTTGAAGCGCTGCCCGTCCTTGCGCCGGCTCACCTGCAGTCGTTGATGGAACCGCCACCACTGTCAGAATGCCAACCTTTTCCAGCCGAAAGTGAATGGTGGCACTGCGCGTGTCGTCGCGAATCACGATCGCGTCGTACTCGTCGCCGACAAAGCGGAAAATGTCTTGGTCGCTCTCGTCCACAGGTTTGCCTACGGATGGCTGAGAACGATATGAAACCGTCAAATTCTCCAACCCGACTCGTAATAGAGGCTGACGCGGAGAGGGATCGGGGTGAACGACCGCGACGACGACCGCACGAGCTCCTTCTTGTTGTTGAACTCGAGCAGTGAAATCTCGGTCGTGAGGTAATTCGAGCGTCCGCCTACAAGAGTCTTGGCCATCGTCCGCTGCTGCCTCGTGTACCTTCGTCCTTATAAAACTCGGATGGAGGCTGCTTGGTCACAACCAATCGCCGCGACGTCCCGGCCATTTCCACACAAAATCCAAGAGTGAATTGGACGCCGCCGAGGCTAGCATGATAGAAGTCGACTGCACATCGTCCCGATACCCCAGTCGTACGCTGCGATGGGCAGTGACCTCGAGCTTGCCAATGTCCCGCGAGATACGCTAATGCACCAAGCCTGGAACGTACTAGTTGCATGGTGCTACTCACTGGCTACTGGCAGTGAGACCGAGCACGGGCTGCGAGATTTCGATCGGCACGCTTTCGCTGTCGACGTCCAACGAGTTGTATCCGCAAAGGCGAAGGTGACAGTGCGCGGCCTTCGTCCAGACCAAATAGCCGACAACAAGTGCTTGTTGCGCTGGCCAAGTCGTCGGGCGATGTGCTAGCAAGTTCGTAGCCGAGCGCAAAGGTCTATACCCTTGCATTTTGCATCTTGCATCTCTTATATACCCTTGCCGAGCGATAGCACGTCAAGGTGCCGGTACTAGTACAACACATCATGGAGCTGGTACTCGACCTCTGGTGGGTGTTGCCATTTCTGACGATTGCTAGCGAACGGTGGCAAGTTCATGTTGTGTAGACATGGCGCCGAACTTGCTCTGCGGGAAGAGCTCCACGGCGACGCAGGTATGACCGAGGAAGACCGCCGTCTTGACCTCCGTCTTAACCTCGGGGACCCTTCGTCACAGAATGAATGCATGCTTCATTGACTCTAACATTGGCGAAGACCGCTACGAGATGCTGCCCGTGACAGGAGCACGGTGTTCAATGTGTTGCTGCGTCAAAGCTCATCAAGCACGATGATCCACCGGTTGTCTGCTTCCTTCACGACACGAAGCTAGGTATTCTGTTTTGCCATGAGAATGGAACTGCAGCCGCTTCTTATGTTCGAGGACGTGGCATCGACCAAGCAGGAAAGGCGGACGCTCGACAGGCCCCCCTACGATTCGACTATACACATGCAACCAAGTCGGCGCAAATGCAAGCAAATATATTGTCTTCTCCTGTACCCTAGAGGCTGTTGGCGAGACCCGATGGCGCGTTCGAAACACGCGGGCGTTCGAACCCCTTCGACTGTCGATGTCTGGATGATGGCATTCCACCTTTTTGCGGTAGCACAGAGCACAGGTAGCACTGTACTAGTAGCACAGTACTCGACAGGTACTATTAGTTAGTACCACTGAAGTACATTCTGCGCTCGCAGACCAGGGTGCAGACTGCAACCTTCGAATCGTATTGCTTTGCTGTCACGACACATAGTAGCGGCGGGTGGTGCATTGAGATGTGAATGCACGGTTCTTGGTGCAGTACCGCTCGGTGATCGAGCAAGTGGTCAAATGTAGGACTGTGTCGGCCTGTCGGCTACAAACCAACGGCAGGTCGCAGTCGATCACACGCGACACATAGAAGGCGCTGCCGTGGCGCCGAGGAGTCGCACCGCTCCACCTCCCCACTTCTCCGGCGAATCGTCGGCCGAAGAGGCACGGACAGCGCAGGTGCGGTCGCTCGATGTGCAAAGTCAGGTTGAAGTTGTTTCGACCAATCAGCGCGCGTTCGTCATAATTCGCTGGATACTTGCGTCATCGCAGCGCACCACGTGGGGCCGATCGGCCGCCCGATCCTCGGCGGCGCCCATCACGATCCTTCGACGCCGCGTACACGGCGCGTCCTCGACGTCCTCGCAGAGAGCCTCGCACGTGTAAGGACTACTACTTCAATTATTAGGGCACTTTAATAGGGAATAACTAACTAATTGCGACGCGACGACGGCTACGACTCGAAAATGTGCTTGAGGATCTCGACTTCGTCGTCCGACCACGTCTCGGGCTCCGTCATGTCCATCTCTTCCAGCTCAAACTCGGGGCCGAGGTCGTCGGCCGAGAGCATCTCCATCCCGTCCATCTGAAGCCCGGGCTCGAGCTTGATCGTCACGACTTCGTCTTTGATATGGTCCATGCGCTCGCTCTTGATGCATTCCGCCGGCGTTTTGGTCGTGGTCTTGGTCGTCGTCGTCGTCTTGGGCTCCTTCTTGACGGGCTTGGCGCCGCGTCGCTTGGCGTCCGACTTTCGCTGGTTCTTGTTGTGCTTTAGCCGGTGCTCTTCGCAGAGCGTGTGGGCTTCGCCGCTAAACTTGAGCGTGCGCTCGTTCGGGCAGCGCCCGCTCTTGTACTTGCACCGGCCGCGGTACGCGTCCGACGACTTGAGCAAATTGGCCGAGACCGAGATCGTAAAGTTGCCAATGAGGCGTGCGCGCTTCGAGGTCGGCGACAACGTCGCGGCTTGCGGGCGCTTCAGGCTCGGCTTGCGGGTCACGGGCGAGTTCATTTGACGACGCAAATAAGAAAATGCAACTTATCGGGATGGCGATCCAGTCTCGGCCCATTCTCTGGATAGTCGCCTTCCAGCTGCGTGCGCGCATACCCTCCCGATGTGTCCAACAGAGAAGCTCGGGCGAAATTTTCACAGCGCCTTGGCAGCATCTGATTGGTTAAAATTCTGCGCAATCAATCCAAGCGGAATGTCGGTGGTTCGGGCGCGATTTGATTGGTCAAATTTAAATGACGCGAGGATGACGTGCGGCGGGCGATGTATACAAAGCTCAAGAGCACGGACCGACCAGTTGCGGCCGCATCTATGACGACAGTACACTTGGACTTTGTATGCTCCATGGCATACCCACATCGCTCGGACTGGCAACGCTCGCTCGCAATCGCAACAGATCCCCTTGTGATCAAGGAATGTCCCGGGAAATTCCCTGCGAAAAGGGACGTGCGATTGCAGCGGACCTGCGACATGTACAGAAAGTGCGGCATGCAAGCGCCTGCTTTTTTTCCTGAAGATGGACGATCTTGAGCGACGAGTGGCGTCGTCGCAGGTGGTTTTGGCGCGCGGTCCCAAGTCGCCGATGTGCTGCGTCGCTCACGCCGCTGCAGAAGCACTGACAAAGGGCGCGGCTGACCAAGAGAGCGGCGAAGAGAGCGACGAGGCCCGCACGCACGCCGAGTTGTTGCAGTCACGCTTGTCGCGCAAGGGTAGGAGCGCCGCGATCGCCGACGGCTCTGTCCACTGCGACGCACGCACCTTGGCGACGCCGCGACTCACGCAGCACTGCGGCGTGACTGCGCTGCGCGCCTGCCCATCGTGTTGGCTGGCTTCTCGCCGATTCTTTTTGTAATGTTGCCGGATGCGATCGAAGAGGATACGACGACGGATGCAGGCGCAGGATGCGACGTACTAACGTGCAAGGACCACTACCTCCAACGTCAAAGGCCATCTCAAAGTGCAATCTCAATGTGCAATGTCGTCGACCGTTGTTGGAAATGTGAAACGGTCCCGCACCTTAAGTTCTGAGTGGCATGCAGCACAAGATGGACCGACAGCGGCGCGTGTACACGGCGGCGGCTGTGCGCAACCTCTCGCCGACCGCCAGGCGCCACGAGAACATGCAGACGGCCTTTGGGTTTGGCTGCGACGTCGACCAACACATCAAATATGGCAAGGTATGCATACCATTGTCGTGCGTCGTGTGCTGAAACGACGCAGTGCCTCGATGGGCAGTGCATGCGGCGCTCGGGATGGGAAATCGAGAAGCTCGCGCTCGGTGTACGTATTCGTTGTCAAGTGTGGTGGTGTTGGCTCCTGTCCACCTATGGTTGATATGCCTAGTCGCAGCGGTTCACCGAAAAGGACTTGGCGCTGCACCACGCGTGCGCGACAAAGAATGAGTTTGCCGTCGCGCATCTCTTGAGCCTTGCGCCAAGTCTCACGTCGCGCAACGCGCAGGTCCGTTGACATTGGACGCTCTACCCACGCACACACGTGTGCGTAGGGCCAGACAGCACTTCACGTGGCCTGCGCCGTCGGCTCGAGCACAATGGTCGAGCGCCTCTTGGTCTACCACGCGTCATCCGACGCCGCGATGGACCTCAACGCCCAGGACGCGCAAGGTACACGGCCTTTGCTGGTATCCATCATCTCATAAAAGCGGCAGGCAACACGTGCTTGCACGCAGCCGCGGCCGCCAATGCGCTTGACATTGTCCAGCGGCTCGTGGCCGCTGGGTGCACGTGGAGTGTGACCAACCACGATGGCAAGGTCGCGGCCGACGTCGCCGGGCATGACCAGCGCATCTTCTTTTTCCTACGCCAGATCGCGGCCGCACACGATCTCAACGACAAGGTGCAATGGCTAAGAATCTCCATCGGATCTGAGAACCTGGGTTAGCTTGTGACGCTGCACGCGCGGGCCGCCTCGGTGCACGCGTCCCGCGACGTGGCAATGCGCGACATTGCGACGTGGGCACTGCGCACGCGGCAGCAGCGACTCGACGCTTCGCTGACCTAATTTTCATCTGAATAATATCTTGCGAGAATCTACGAACGATGACGTGGCAACACAGAAGCCGAGATAGATGATGACGGGTTATTTTAAATATCGTACGACTCGCGAGATGTCTGGGACGTGGTCTCCATGATGACGGTGCTGCCGTTCGTGTCGAGAAGCGACGGACTGAGGTCGTAGCTAAAGGAGCTCACGCGGAACGCGTTAGAGCCGCGGGCAAACGTATGGCCGAGCGACGGCTGCGAAAACATCGAGTCACCATACCGAACGCCGTCCGACTCGCGTGGCATGCTCTTATTCGGGTCGTGCAAAATGACAATCTCGCGCGGCGACGACGAGCTCGACGAGACGGCCGACGACGACGACGCCGACGATGTGCTCTGATGATGCAGCTTGATGAGCTTGGTCGTCCACTCGGTCTCGGACTCGCGCTCCGAGTTGGACACGATCGACGAGTCCTCCGAGACGCCCGAGCCCGCGAACGAGGCAGGTCGCCCGCGCATCGCAATCTTCCGGCTGTAGTTGGGCGGTAGCACGGCGGGGCTATCGTTGCTCGCGTAGTACATGTCGGCGGCCGGCGCCGACTCGGTCCCCATCGATGGCTGGTACTCGCTGAGCTGGATCGGATACGTGTCCATCGTATACGGCGCAGCCCGGCGGCCATAGTTGTACCCGTCTTCGTTCGAGTTGGTGTTGGTCGTCGTCGCTTTGAAGTACGTTTCGTGGGCCTGCTGCCGATGGGTACGCCGCCGGCGCTTGCACCACAGGAGGCTCATGCCCACGAGGAGGCCGAGGCCTAGGACACCGAGCACAATGGCGAGGATGAGTGTCGTGCTATCGGCGCCGGTGTTGGCGTCCGTGAGCGCTATAAAGAAGAGCAGTGAGGGCGCGGCTCATGCGCAAGGCAGCGTACGAGGCGAGGGCGTCGCCGTCGCGTTCGCGAGCTCGACGATCGCGCTTGGGGCCGGCGTCGTGGTGGCTATCGACCGGTCGCAGAGACGTGAGGCGGCTACTGAGTGACGACGCGGTACCTGCATCGTCGGCGAGACGTCTGGCGGCCATGACGGCGTCCGATTGCGCTATGCCAGCCGTCGTGCGCGACACGTTCGACCAGGTCGGAGGTCGCCACAGTGGCCGGCATGCATCTCATTGGTGGCTTTGGCTGCAGCGCACCCAATCAAACCGTCTGCAATTTCGATGCGCGACGCTGATTGGTGGAAATGTAGCTTCGAAACGGGCGCCGCCAACGCAGCTGGCCGAGATTCCTTGAAGCGCTGACGCGGGCATCCCACGCATCTTTGGGCGCAGAACTGGCTTGCGCCATGATTGCCCTCGTCGACATGGCGATGGTAGAGGACCTTGGCCTCGGTGACGATGACGTCGAGGCCGTGGTCGCGTGCATGGCTGCCGGGCCATGCCAGCCACCGTCGTCGGTGGTACTGAAGAGCTGGCGGTCGTGTACTGTTGGCCGTGCGGTAATACTACTACTGGTACTGGTACTGGTACTGCGTCTAGAGGCGGCGCAGGTGGCGCGCTGCACACTGTACCACTGCGTCCTCGCCAACGGCAACAGCAATGACGCGACCGACCATTGAGCTCTCCACTCCACGCCGGCGAGCCTTTCCGCTGCTTGGCTTGCGGGTGAGGCAGCTACAACACAATTCCACCTCTGGCGTGCTGGCACGTTGCGCCAGCTGCCAACGCTCGCTGCCCACCTCTCTCCGCTCTCGATGCCGACCCCAGCAATTCCTCGCGCGCCATGACGAGCTGTCCTTGCGCACGGCCGTTGGCTCGGTGCTGCTGCGACACACATGCGCCTACGCCAGCTCCGCGAGGACGTTTCATGTTGCATGGACGGGCTGTGTGGCCTCTCATTACACTGCGTGCACCCAGCTTATGCAACACGGATGCCAAACGAGCTGCAAAATAGTAAGTTCTTAGAGGCCGAGCGAGAGGTGGTCGTCGGCGCGTGACGTCGTCTCGTCGCGCTCTAACCTGTGGGCGTGCTGGTCGCCGTGACAGAGGTGGCACCAGTCGCAGAGTGCGTACTCGGCACACGTTGTGCAGCGCCAGTAGACGGCGTGCGTCAGGAGGAGTGCGCACTCGGCGCAAAAGACGTTGACTTGGGGCACACTGGCGTTGAGCATGTGGTGGAGGAGCATCATGGTCGAGTGCTTGGCGCGCCGGAGCGAGTCAAACTGGTACGACGCGCGGAGACTGAGCTGGTGAAACGAGAACCGCGACCCGATGAACGCCGGCATCATCATCGACCGCGGCGGTGACGACAACGACGGTATCACAAGCGGTGCGGTCGGTGGCGCCAAGTCGACGACGAGCAGATCGTCCTTGACGATCTTCATGGCACTGAGAAAGCTCGTGAACGTGTCGCGCATGCGGTGCAGCCCATCGTCGTCATAGAGCGGTGCGTCGGCGGCCCAGATCTTCTTGCGCTTCTTGGACTTTTGCTGCCGAATGACACGGTCGAGCTCGGACGGTACAATGTCGCCGTCAAAGAACGGCAGAGGCGCCGGCCAGAGGTACTCGTCCTTGTCCGTGAGCAGCGTATTGGTCGAGACGCGGCGGGTCGTAATGGCTGCACTCTTGTCGCTTGGCGTCGTTGGCGGCGGCGGCAATTCCGGGGCTTTCGCTGCTTTGGCTGCGTACTTGGACTGGAGCGGCGCCAGGTACCGCTCGTAGAGCGTCGTGTAGCCATCAATGATGTGTTCGTCTTGGGCTTTTTGCAGCACTCGCTTGTACCAGGCGCGGAGGTGGTCGACGCTCGGCGTTTTTTGGAAGGTCGGGTGGCACCAGAAGACGTACGACTGACTGCGCGTCGGCGGACAACTCCAAATGTGAATACGGTCGAGGCCATGGTGGCGCGCATAGTCAAAGTAGCCAAGGAGGACGCGGTGGTACACCAGCGTCCGGATCGACGGCGGCTGGAGATACCGCACGCTGTCAATGTAGGCGAGGTACGCGCTCCGGCGGTTCTCGACCAGCTCGCAGTCGTCGTTGTACTCTTGGACGTACATGGCAAAGAGGCAGACGTCGACGCCTTGCTGCTTCTGGAAGAGGAAGATCGACTTGGTCGCAAACGAGACGCGGACCGGGAGTTCGCGCGCTTCGGACGCCGCGTCCGGACACGCCGCACGGAGCGCGTCAGCGTTCATTTTGAACGCCTCGACGATCGACGGCGGCATGAAGAACTTGTGGTTCGCGAACGTCGATTCGCGTACGTAGAGTGCATCGGCGTCGCCGGTGGGAATCGCTGCCCGCAAGCGCTGCTCCAAAAAGATACTCAATGGCGACTCGGGCAGACTCCGGCAGTCGATCGACGGTGTCGTCGACGTTTGCTTGGCCGCGAGCTCGCACAGCGGACACGTAAACGCATTGCTGGACGACGTGGGCGGTGACGCGTACGCGTCTTCGACAGCGTTGAAGAGCGCGCACACTTGGTGCATCCAGCGATCGCAGCTGCCGCAGCGGACCCACGGCTCGACGTCGACTTCGCACTTTTTCTTGCTCAAGAGCGGCGCCATTTCAGCCGCGGTCGGCCACAGCGCGCGCGCCGCCCCGCGTAGGTAGTTGCTACTACCACCCTCGTCTTCATCGCGCTTGGTTTTCTCTTCCTTCATGCCGCGGTTTCGGCACTTCATGCACCACATGCGCGTGCCGTCCCGCGTGACGTAGTAGCTCATGCCCTTCCGAAAGACCGTGCCACAGTTGCCAAAGCACTGGTAGTGCGGCAGCGTCAGCTCGAGGCAGCCGTCGTCACAGAGCGCGCACGTGTGCCCGGCGCAGACGCTGCATGCGTGCGCCGCGGCCTTCTCGCCGTCCGCACCGGCTTTGACGAGCTCGGCGACCCAGAGATCGTCAAAACACTGGCGTAAGAGCTTGGCGTTCCCGTGGACCCAGTGGTCCTTGCCGTTGAAGAGCATCGCGTTCTCAAAGACGAGCCGGACGTCGGCCGCAAAGGCGTCGAGTGAGACGTACTTGCCCGCATCGAGCGTCTTCTTGATCGTGCCGAGGTCCATCGGCCGGGCAATGATGTCGTTGTACGTTGGCAGGTCGAGCGCAACGGGGTCGACCGGCGCGTTGAAGAGGCCTTTGGTGTTACGCGCGTGCTCCATGAGCCGAGTGAGCAGGGGCACGAGGCGCCGAAACCGCGTGAGCCGGCTGTCGCAGCGCAACGTCTCGACGTGGAGGGCAATCTGGTCGCGACTCAAGTTGGCCAGCGGCTGGACGCGCGTGAGCGGCGTTGGGAGCGGCGCGTACGTCCAGCCGTCGGGCAGACTCGGGTTGGACCCCGAGACGTGCGCGTGGGTACAGACGACGTCCGTTGCGTCTTCAACGACGGCAGTCGGTGGCGGTGTCGGTGCGACGGCAACGGCGACGACGGCTTTGGGCGTCGGTTCGGTGCGTGCGCGCTTCCGGGGCTTGAACTCCTTCATGTGGTGGCCTTGGATCGTATACCGCGGCTGCTTGCGCCTTGGCTTGCGCCGAATCGTCGACGGCTGAAAGGTCTGTCGCATCTTGTCGAGAAATATACACTCGGCCATGTTGGTGGGCATGCGCCACAAGCCAACGTTGCCGACGGTCGAGACCACGGGTGCAGATGCCGACGATGGTATTGAGACGGACGATGATGACGCTTGGAGCGTGCGCCACGTATGCACGAGGCGCTGACCATGGACTTTGTGGGCATTGTCGGCGTTCGCGAGCTGCTTCCATAGCTTGGCCCCGGCGCCGACGCGCATTGCGTCGCCGAGATAGCTCAGACACAGATCTACAATGCATGCATCATGAGATGGTGCGAGGAGCGACGTGGAGGATGACGTACCGACAATGTGCGTGATGGCCGAGGACGGCGTCGGCTGGTAGCCCCTTGAATGCAAGAGGAGAACGGCGGCATACGATGGCGGCAGCGCGGTGCGTCGTACTACGCTCGTCGATCGTCGGGAGGTACCCAAAGCGGTCTTCAGGTGCTGTTGTGTCTTGCGCCGCTTGACGACTTGAACCGGCGCGATCGCGAGATCGGACGTGTTTTTCACCCCGCTCGACGGCGTCTCGGCCTGCATCTCGACGTCGTCTGCGCCCGTCAAGTCGATGATCGTCTGGTCGCAGCGCGAGGGTCGGTGTCCCATGCTGTGGCTCGATCGCGCGGCCGGCGTGGCCACAGCGCGTGGCGTCTGGCGAACGGCGGTCGACGCGCTGGCGCTGCGCGGGCGCACCGGCGCCTTGCCGTTTCTTGTCTTTGTCGCTACCTGTGTGTGCTGGCGGTCCACGCGCGATGGCTGGCGCTCGGCCGCGTTGTCGCTGCTCGAGCTCTCGTCCGACTCGTCGACGAACGTGTGCATCGGAGGCTTCCGCGGCTTGTCGGCGACCTCGAGACACCACGTGTCCTGCTTCTTCTTGAGGTAGAGCGCAATCCTGACGTCCACGCGCGGCCAGCGCGTCTTCAACGAGATGAGCTGCGGCCGGCAATATCGAATTCCTTCGATAAATCAGCGCCTTTTGAAAGTTTTATCTTGCGCTTTGTATCCCGCACCGTCGCCAGCGAATCCAAGCCGCCAGGCCCAGTCCGCCGTATCCGGATGTCCCGGTTGACAGCGTCCGAGGGTGTTCGCCGAGGGCTAGCCCCGAAGCAGACCATTGCATCATGCTACATTGCTCTCTAGAGGGTCGTCGACCGGCCATGGGCGTTGGCTGCGCGCCGACAGGCGGCCACGACGCGGTCGCTTGGGGATTTAAATACGCACCCCAAGCTTGCTCTTTGTAGCAAACAATAAAACAACAAAAAACAACGCTGCATATCCGGATACGCAAAGCATATCTTGGCAGCGTCGACGATCCAACGTGGCATCGCGCGGTGCTCGTGCCCGCCCTGCGCTGGCGCTGGCCTCGTCCGCGCTGCTCGATGACGTGCGTGTGTGCATGCGCTGATATGTATCCGCGGCCATGCCGCCTGCGACGTCGTCAAGCCACGGTACGCGACCATGCAGGAAGGATTCCATGCTGGAAGGATACGCTTGCAAGGTCGAAAGGTCGTGGATCGTGACGACTCAGAATGCTAGACTAGAGGCTGCCAACGATAGCAGCATGCCAGCGAGCAGCAGCGACGACGGCGCGGCGACGACCGCACCTACACACCCGGCTGTAGTTGTTGCAGCACGGATCATCACGGCGACGTACCTGAAAGCTGCGACGCCGACCAGACTTCGAGTTCGCGGATGCCGTAGATCGGGCCTTGGTCGGCGAGCCGGCGGGTGCAGCCATGCACGTTGTTGGGGTCGCAGCTGGCCGGCGAGACCATGTCGACGCGCAGATAGTAGAAGCGCGCGGACGAGTTGCTCGCGGGCCGGACGACGTCGACACGGTCCCAGACCGTCGACGCGTTGTCCACCTCGTTGTAGAGGAGGAACGTGCGGTTGTAGCCCGAATACGACGTGCTGATTGTGTACGCTTTGGCGGCCAAGTAGCCGTGCCAGCGAATGATGACTTTGCTAATGACGGGCGACTCGGCCGTGAAATTGACCTGGAAGAACACCGACTCGTTCATTCGGCCGCTCGACCACCAGCTCGTTTGCACGACGAGGCCATCGATGCCATTATCTACGCAGTGCATGAGGAATAAGCACGTCGTGTAGAGTGTAGTACTGGGAATGTACTTGGTGTCGAGGACCGGGTTAAGGTCGAATTGGAAGTAGCTGCTCGCATACGCGTTCTGACCCGTCGCCGCGTTGAACTCGAGGTTAGGCAGACTCACGACCGCATTCGCTTGGTCGAGCTCCTGCGCCAATACGAGCCACAGCAGTCCGAGGCATCGCAGTCGGCTTGTACTGCGCATAGCCTATTTTTACATGCGCTAAATGCATCGTATGCGCTCAGTTTCAAACGCACTCGCGTGCCTGGAGGGCAGTGCGAAAGGGAAATGATAGTATAAAAGGTGGTGGTACACGGGGTTTGAAGTGGTGTGGCGATGCCGGCAGCTCTTGGGCGCTAGTAAAGCTAAGATTCGCACCGGCAACCGCTCGGCTGCCACGCGAGCCCACATAACATAACAGGAGTTTACTCAATCTGGATTTATTCGAGCTCATCAGACGCAACCCACAAGAGCTCCCACAAGTGGTTGTACCTGGTTGGTCAAGGAATCTGCGAGTATCTCTGGACAAGACCGCTCTCCATGTGCATCATTCTCGAAATATGTTGACGCGAATCAAGAGCCAAAGTTGTAAAAGCAGCGGCAACGACAGGAACGCCGGGGAAGCCCATGCCCCGAAAAGGTCGAGTGCCGTTGTGCGTTCATTTCTCTTACGACGCTCGTCACAGACACCAACTTTACGTAACCAAAGCCCTGGTCTCTACGAACTGACCGGGCTGATGGGCTGGCAAAGGGCAAACTGCAAGCGTCAACGATCGCTCGTCGTGGAGCTTGCCACGTAATCATCATTCTGGCGTTCTCCGCCGTTCGTCGGTGGTCAGCACCCGATCACCACAAGTTGCCTTTCGAAGCTGTTGCACACGCCCCGCCGCGAGCGTAATGCTTGCTTCTTGCTTTTTCAAGAAGCGCTTGAAATCTACCTTGCAATTGGTATTGCATAGAAAGCCATTTAAAGCAAGCTCGGGGTTTCTTAACGTAGCGAGCGCTTGTTTTTGCATCCCGTATGTATTTTATTACCTTGTGGTTTGTATGCAATTCAATCCTGTGGGAATAGAGTAATGCTGTGACAGCCGACGAGCGCGCGCTGATTGGCCCAAAACCACGGTGGCGATATCCTGCCACGGGATTGGCTACGATCGCGTCATTGTATTTTAATACATTGTACTACATGTTTGTATGCTTCTTTTGTCGTCGAATTAAAAGCGATGCCAGCTGGGGTATCATGCGCTGGCGCTGTGGCTCTAATCGATGCGCTGATTAGGGCCAGGCCGCCGGGTATAATCACTCGTGATGGACGGACGTTAGCAGCTCGCAAGCAATAAGAACTTATTTTTCAAATCCCCATGTCCAAGACAGTCGAGGTTGACGGCAAGCCGACAACGGACTTTGTCGAGGTCGCCACACCCAAGGCGACTGCCGCCGCTGCGGACGCCTCGCCTGCGCCCGCCAAGGAGGCCAAGATGGTCTCGCTTACCAAGCTCTTTACGTTCGCCGACTCGACGGACAAGTTGCTCATGGCCGTCGGCACGGTCGCCGCCATGTTCACGGGCGTCTCGCAGCCGATCCAGATCATCTTCTTTGGCGACATCCTCAACGCGTTCAACCCGTCGCAGGTGTCGTCGTTGAGCGCCGACGACCTCCGGACCAGCATCAACAAGGTCGTGGTCCAGTTCGTCTGGCTCGGCGCGCTCGTGCTTCTCTGCGGCTTTGCACAAATCGCTTGCTGGTCGATCGCGGCGTCGCGCCAGGCCAAGCGCCTCCGCCACGCCTATGCGTCGGCCATTCTGCGCCAGGAGGTCGGCTGGTTTGACGTCAACGAACCCATGCAGCTCGCAACCCGCGTCGCCGACACGACGCTCATCATCCAAGAAGGCATGGGCCGCAAGGTTGGCGACGGCATCAATTTTACGACCATGGCGCTCTCGGGCTTTATCATTGCCTTCTGCTACGGCTGGGAACTCGCCCTTGTCCTCTTTGCGTTCACGCCGCTCATCGCTGCGAGCGGCTACTTCATGATCAAGGCGATCGCGTCGGCGACCCAAGGCGGCATCGAGTCGTACGCCGAAGCCGGTGGTGTCGCCGAAGAGTCGCTCAGCAACATCCGCACCGTGCACATGTTCAACGCCATGAGCCGCATGGCCGACAAGTACAAGGCCGCCCTGCGCAAGACCGAGGTCGCCGGCGTCAAGAAGGGCCTTGCGGTCGGCCTTGGCACTGGTGGTATGTTCTTTGTCGTCTTCTGCACGTACGCTGTCGGCATGTACTACGGCGCGGTCAAGATCACGAACGACCAGATCAACGACAAGTGTGTTGGCAGCGGCTGCTACGACGGTGGTCGCGTCATCACCGTCTTCTTCTCGATTGTCATGAGCTCCATGGCGCTCGGCCAGGCCGGCCCGAGCGCGCAGGCCATGTTCTCTGCCCGGTCCGCGGCCTACGATGTGTTTGAGCTCATCGAGCGCGAGTCCAAGATCGACGCGAGCTCGGACGATGCCGGCACGGTCCTGCCGACGGTCCAGGGCGAGATCGCGCTCTCCAACATTTCGTTTGCGTACCCGTCGCGGCCCAACGTCCAAGTGTGCGCGGGCTACTCGTTGCACATTCCGGCAGGCCAAAAGATTGCGCTCGTCGGTGCCAGCGGCAGCGGCAAGAGCACGATCGTGTCGCTCCTCGAACGCTTCTACGACCCGCTCTCGGGCACTGTGACGCTCGACGGCCACGACATCAAGGACCTCAACCTCAAGTGGCTTCGGTCGCAGATCGGTCTCGTGGGCCAGGAGCCGTGCCTCTTTCAAGACTCGATCGCCAACAACATTCGCCACGGCAAGCCGGGTGCGACGCTCGATGAGGTGTTTGCGGCTGCCAAGCAAGCCAACGCGTACGACTTTATCATGGGGTTTCCCGATGGGTTTGACACGGAAGTCGGCGACCGCGGTGCGCAGCTCTCGGGCGGTCAGGTATGTCGTCCTTTCTCACTTTGCACTTTCTACGAGGATCTGAAACCGTGGATGTTTGTAGAAACAACGTATTGCGATTGCCCGCGCGATCATCAAGAACCCGAGCATTCTGATTCTGGACGAAGCGACGTCGGCGCTCGACACGGAGAGCGAGCACATTGTGCAGGCGTCGCTCGATCATCTGGTGGCGTCGGGCAACCGGACGACGATCATCATTGCGCACCGTCTCTCGACGATCCGCAATGCCGACCGCATTGCGGTGCTTGAAGCTGGCAACGTTGTCGAAGAAGGCACGCACGACGCGCTTCTGCAGCTGCCGCATGGTCTCTACAAGACGCTTGTTGATGCGCAGATGAAGAAGGTCGACATGGACGAAGACCTCGACGACGAGCTCTCGCCGGCGCCGGTGACGGCCGGTCGCAACCGCCTCCACTCGCGCTCGCGCCAGTTTTCGCGTGTGAGCCACCAAGAGTCGGCCAAGCACGACGATGCCGAGAGCGACGCCGAGACGGACGTGGAGGCCGCCAAGGACGTGCCTGTCTCGCGCATCTGGAGCTTGAGCAAGCCGGAGATGCTCAACTTTATCTTTGGTGGCATTGGCGCGGTCCTCAACGGCGCCGTCTTCCCTATCTGGGGCGTGCTCTTGACCAAGTGCACGGTCCTCTTCTTCAAGCTCGACAGCACCTCTGACGCGATGCGGCACGAAGCGTCGCTCTGGGCCGCGGGGTTTGCGGGTCTCGGCGTCGTCTTTTGCGCGGCGCTCACGCTCCAGAACCACCAGTTTTCGATCGCTTGCGAGCGCTTTACGTCGCGCATTCGTGGCTTGTGCTTTGAGGCGATGCTGCGCCAGGACATTGGCTGGTTTGACGACGAGAAGCACTCGTCTGGCTCGCTGACGACGCGCCTCGCGACCGACTCGGCTGCCATCCGCACCATGACGGCCGAGACGGTCAACGTCGTCCTCGTCAACGTCTCGACGTTGGCCGTTGCCTTTGGCATTGCGTTTTCGCAGAGCTGGCAAATGACGCTCGCGCTCCTCGGGGTGTTCCCTATCATTGGCTTTGGCGCGTTCATCCAGATGCAGTCGATGGGCGGCAACACGGGCAAGAACGTCAACGACGGCGACATCCGCGCCGGCGCGCTCCTCTCGGAGGCGATCAACTCGATCCGAACGGTCGCGTCCTTCTGCCTCGAGAAGACGACCAACGAAGCGTACCTGACCTTTCTGCAGCTCTCGCCGACCACGGACCACAAGGTGGGCATCTTGGCGGGTGTCGGCTTTGGCGTCTCGCAGAGCTGCATGTTCTTTGCGATGGCGTTCCTCTTTTGGTTTGGCGGCTGGCTCATCATCCGCGGCGACGTCGACTTTGAACGCATGTTCCTCGTGCTCAACCCGATCTTGCTCTCGTCGTTTGGTGTCGGCATGGCGGCCCAGGGCTTTGGCGACATGGCCAAGGCCAAGAAGGCGGTCGGCAGCATCTTTGGCATCATCGACCGCGTCCCGTCCATCGACTGCTCGGCGTCGAACGGTCTTGTGCTTGACGAGGTCAAGGGCGAGCTCGAATTGCGCCACGTCGCCTTTGCGTATCCCTCGCGCCCCGACTCGCAGATCTACAAGGACTACAG